GCAGGAAGGCGGTCTCGAGGAGCGGGCAGCGCGGCGGCGCGCGCTGGCAGAGCAGCAGCCCGATGCCCAGCGGGAGCAGGAGGCCGGCGCGGGTACAGTCCACCAGGCCCTGGTGGAAGAGCAGTCCCTGGGCCCAGCCGCGGCGCCGGGCCGCCACCTGGCCCATGAGCAGGCAGTTGGCGCCCATGCCGAGTGCGGCCAGGGCGAGCAGCAGGGCCGCCTCGGCCGCCGCGCCGCCGGCCCACGGCCCGGCCCAAGTGCCCCCCGCGCAACCCGAGCTCTGGTTGGACGCCGTGCCGTGCTCGTGCCGTGGTCCCTCGGGGGACCCGGCTGACCCGCTGCTTGGGGGGTTGTCGGCGCCGGCGGCTCCGCGGGGGTGGGTGCCGCGCGCTCACTGAGGACGAGGACGACGTCGGGAGGGTTTCGGGTCGGGATCTCGGCTGCGCTGTTGCCGAGGGGCGCTGTGGGAAGCTCCGGCCTCCGGCTCGGAGCGCGGACCGCGGCTGAGACCGCGGAGTTGACACGGTGGAGCCGCCTGGTGGCCTAGTGCCTAGTTGGCCTAGTGGCGCAGCCGTCTGAGCGGCCGGCGGTTCACCTACGCGGCCTGTCGTCTTTTCGCGCGTACGTGCCTCGGGGCACGCTCGATATTGCCACCGGATATTTAACCAAGTCCGCGCGAAGCATGCGCCAAGACGGCAGGCGCTGTCTCGCGGGCATCATATTTCGAGAGATCTTCCGTGACCCGTCTCGAGGGAAAAGGTGTTCGCGAGGAATAAATTGAAACTGCGCGGAACAATTACTTGATCAGTTACGAAACCATGCTTTTTTATTTATTTTATTTTGTTGTTATATATTGGAAGTGTTTTATATTCTGGAGAAGTTCAATTTGGCTAGGTTCGTTCGTTAGTCTACCGAAAGTCAAAAGCGTACGCCTATCCCGCGCGTGACTGGCCAAGTTTCGACTAACTAATTCTTCTAAAGATAATTTTTGCCCATATAAAGAGAAAAAAAAAAAGTCGTTCCTAACTGTTTTTGTTTCGTTTTTGGGGGCATAATAATCTAATCGGTATAGTTTAGTGGTTGGCAAAGCTGATGCGCTTCACCACTTTGCACCCGCGTTCGCCGTGATGCCCACCTGGCGCGATGTGGGCGAAAATAGCTATGGTTCCAAAATTTTGCATTGTTTTAGTTTTTGTTTATTAGTAAATTTTAATGGCTTCTGTGGCCACCAGAACATAGTTGGCTAGCCTGATCGGTCACTAAATTGCGATATAGTGCAGCATTTACTTAAAAAGTTATTTTTTAATGATAAGTATATAAAGCATATAAAATATTGCTAATAGTTATATGAAACATGTATTTATCTGTTTGTAACAGCTGGCACACGGTCTGTTCATGCACAAACCGTGGAAAAAAAAAAAGACTTGATTTTGCTTTTAAAGCACAGCCACTGATCTCTATGAGAGATCAGTGAGCACAGCTCTCAGGCGCCCATTTGTGGGTTGAGCGGTGTCGGCATAACCGCGCACGTTGCATTATATGGGACGTTTCCCGGCTAAAGTTAGTGGGGAAATTTTCCCGCAAAATTTAGCGGGGGAAATGTTTCTGCTAAATTTAGCGAGAAATTTTTCTGCTAAAGTTTTGCAGCTTTCAAATCCTAGATCATACAGCAAATTTTGCAATCGCTTGAATAGATTTATTTCTTTTTTTTTCTTATTGTTTTATGTGTATGTCATCATGTGCCATGTTTTGGCCATAGAGTTATTACGATAAAAGCTAGAGGCTCAGCTGGTGCTAGTGTGCTGTTGCATTTTGAAGCAGACAGCAAGCAGTCAGAAATTGACTTCCAGTAATGCATTTCTATGGGAAAAAGCGCGTGCATTTTCTCTCTGCGCTCGGTTATAAGAGCAAATATCACGAATAATTTGTAAGTACTAGGCACATTAGAACATTTCTCAGTCACGCAGACGAAATAATTGGTCAGTTACAGCATTTTTATTTGAAATTCGTGGCATGAAAAACGGCGTTAAAACCGTTTTGTACGTGTATTTATGTGCACTGTCGAACACTGTTAGCGCGAACACGGCGTCGACGCTTTCCAGCATGGGGGATGTACGTGCCAAACGAACGAAGGACATGTGGAAAACCAAGAGAGACGGCAAGAACTACGCAGTAACACTGGATAAGTACCTCCTCTGAATGCAGACGATCAAAATAAATTGAAATCCACGTAATATAGTCAGATTTGTAATAAATAAGTACTGCTTTATTCTTTCTGCTCATGAATATGTGCGAAGATGCTTGTTCTTGGTTCAAATCATCATCCGCACGCTCCAAATCTTTGAAAATAGGGGGAGCCAGAGAGTGGGTGCCCGATAAAAACTGCCCGACATAGGAAATAATAAAAAGACACACCTTTCGTAGCTCATGTGCTTTATTTTTTGCGTTCAAATGTTTTTTTAACCGATCGTAAAGATGCACGACGGAGTCATTTTCATCCAATGGCAGGACTGGCATATTAGCAATATATAGGCACCACCGAAATGCTAGCAAACCTTGAACACACTCTACATTCCTTTCGATCGTTAGTTTGCTTAGAATCATCGCTTTTTTTTACATACTTTCCTTGCAACAGAGGTTTGGGCCTGAAATAGAGCGAAGTGTAACATCGTTCACTGGTAAAGAAAAATGCTGTAACTAAAGCAATTACACTTTCACATCACCAATAAAGGTGCATACTATCCGGTACAACCGATATGACAAAAGTTATTTGTGTTATTTTCCGACGAAGAGACAAAATTCACGCGCGTTTTCCCATAGGAATACACAGGGAGGCTGGAAATGTAGACTGCATGCTGTCTGCTTCAATTTGCAACCGGAAGTCCCGTAGACACTAGCGCCAGCTGAGCTTTTAGCGTTTATTGTAATAACTCTATGGTTTTGGCCGACTGTTTTTAGGAAAAGTTATGGTTATTTATTTTTTAATACTTTCCAATTTCATATTGTACTTAAATTAAATCATGATATCAATTTATAAATTTCCATGGTTTTTGTTTTGTTTTTTCTAAAGGGTTGTAAAAATTAATGATGGGCCGAACTTTTGCCAAATAGAAAGTTCGGCGCCGAATCTTTTGCCGAACTTTCGGAGCCGAACTTTTGCCGAACTTTTCTAAAGATTCGGCAAAGATACAGTAAAAATACATTGTTACCAGACTTAACGTGGATATTTAGTTTTTTCTGGCGAAAAAAGGTTTCATGTTGTTTTTTTCCTAACCTAAATGCAACATGTCATGTAGATTGACACAGTTATTACTAAATAAGGTGATATTCTACAAGATAATTGTATCAGTCTCGTTTTTGTGTGTTTACTGTCAATTTTAGTGACTCCTTGCAGAAGTGGCATGACAACGAGGGTGGGTAGAAACGAGCGCGGCGCAGTCACGAATCACGTGAGAGTTTCGGTTTTGAGGCATCATCTGCGCAAGCCTGCTGTGTGTGTACATTGTTAAAATGAAGGCAATAACGCTGCGTTCTTGCTTTGTCTGGGAGTCACCGTTTTGTGTGCGAAAACGAATGCAACGGTTGCTGAGCCTTCACCAGAAGAGATAATATTATCATTGTAAATATGTGCAACGTCTTGTTTTTAACCTTTAAAAGGCCAGTTTCTGGTGTAAGGACACACACAAACGTTCAGAAAGATAGGGCGAGTTAGGAATGTCGGATGTGTAACGTCGAGCATTATAGTTCTGTGTTTAGTTTTATGCAGATACATGAAAATCACAAAATAACGCTAATTGAGAATGCAATCTTATTTTGTTTTAGAACACACTACTTCTGAGCCGAAAACAGAATTGTTATAATACTGAGGAGTGCTTTATAGTAATTGTTGGCCAATGTTTCAACTACTTCGGTGTATCAATTGAAAGTTTAAATGAAAATCCCGTTATCCAGAATGTACCGCATCACTTGTCACTTGCACAGTGGACTGCGTAAATTACTGGTCAATCTTCTATTCTTGAGGCAGGAAATAGCCGAAGAGAACCACGCTCGCTCACAAACGCACAGGTACTGTGTTGCCTACTCCACACCTCGCCGTAACCACTGGTTGCACTACACTGCACGATGGTAACTGCACGACTGCACAGCGTCCATTTGCAATCCATGTACCCGTCGCGTTCTCGCGCGTGCGCAGACATTTGCCGAATCTTTGCCAAACTTTCCTTCAAAAGTTCGGCACTTGCCGAACTTTGCCGAATCTGAAGTTCGACAGATTCAATCCATCACTAGTAAAAATTACTTTTTTTATGTTTTGTGTGCCTAATACTTTATAGCAAGAATCGTTTCAGGAACATTAAAAAGGTACAAAGCACCTCTCTGTACTTCTCGAATGAGTAAAAGAAGAAAAAAACTGCCAAGAAAGCCTGCAAATAGCCAAACTCGAGGAAGTTTAGTGGGGATGCGATGACTGCACCATTCGTGCCAGAATGTTTGCCCCACCACATTCTGGTCGACGGACCATTAGTAGCATATCCCGTTACGCTCGGACATTTTCACAAATATTGCGTTGACATTGCAGCAGATGTAAATTTCTACTTCCTCGACATAAACTCGTCGTTCGGGCTCTGCCACACTGCCGGGTCCTTCCGACGAGCGTCTGTCAATTTTCGCAACCTTCGATCGTCGTTGCTTACAAACGGTGCTGGATGTGGGAGATGGCCATTCTGCTGCAGGTCGCCCTCGGTCTCGACAGTCAACGGAAGCTTCGGCAGCCAGAGCGCCGCGACGATGGCGACACTAGCCTTAACTCATACTTTTTCCGAGGACTCCTAGCACCAACCGGCATAACCGCGACGTCTGACAGCACAACACAACGGCTCGCGTGACATCATTTCTTGCCAGTTCGGGCCGCTTTTTCGATGTAGGGACAGGAAGGACGCTGAACGTACCAGCCGAGGACGCGGTTCAGGCACCGTATTGATTGCGACGACCATGACTTGCAGGTGGACCTGTCGAAGAAGGTGGACGAAGTGCTGGGTCGCATCGAGGAGCGCCTGAACGGCTTGCTACGGCAGGCGGCTTCCCCCCGGCCGGCCCCTGGTCTTCAGCAGCTGATGGCGGCCAGCAGCCAGATTCACGCGGCGTGGCCCTCTAGGACGGCCGGCCAGGACACCCTTCTTCGGCGGCTCGGGGACCTCCGCCGTCTGCTTTCGGGCCTTTCACAGACCTCTGGTGAGTGAATGCAAACCTGCTAGTTGCTCGTGAAGGTGGGGAGACCGCATACGGTTAGCAATTCCAGCAAAGCGTTTGCCAGTCTGCTTTCACAGTTTCGTATTTAGGTCATTGGAGGTTGAGAATTGGGTCGGTTGTTAGTTGAGATTAAAACCACTGGCATGGTGGCGCAATCTGCCGCCAGTCAAATACATTCCTTTATCCATTTGTTATACGCTAAACATGCTGGAAAGATTGTGAGTGCTTTTTCATAATCTTTGTTTTTGAACATCGCTTCATCATGTTTGTTGTCACAGGCAATGACTGTTTTTGCAGCTGTGGATCATGGGAGGTGGCAGGACCTTTTTTGCTTGGGTGGCACGGCCTAACTTCCCAAATTCATCAAGGGGCAAAGAAAGGGAAAGAAGGGGGGTAGTGATGTGGCTTACATTTAGCTGGCTCTTGAATCGCAGGTTCCACGTGCCAAGGGAATACAAATTGGTCCTCTGTTCTTCGCTTGTGTGTGTAAAGGGCTGTCTTTGCAGAACTTGATTCACTCCAAATTTTGGCATGGACGATTTTACGTCCCAAAAGGGTGCATGCAAAGCTGAACATCAATTGTGTGCACATCTATAGAGCGCGAAAACTTTATCGACAAAAGTCGGAAAGAGTCGTGTTTGGCAAGGACAGATGGCCCTTTGTTAGTGATTCTACAATGATATTAGGGAGGTAGGCAGAAATTTCAGACAAGCAACTGCCCCCTTGCTCCCCTCCCCCGCCCCTGTATAGCTGCCCCTGCCATGGGTGAACTGCCGCTCCTTGAGGCCTTTATTCCTTCGTTCCAAAGCACAAAAACTTGAGCGTAGCCTCAGTGCCAAAAACTCACCTGATGGCCGTGAGGCTGTAAAAGCAGGAATTCATCCTCAATGAAAAGTAGTCATTTGTCTTGAACTTTCGTCTTGGTCTAGTTTGGTGTGTCATGTGGGGTAGGGAATGTCTATTTAAAATTGTTACTAAGACACAGCACATGCAAGGACTGAAAGGAAAACACTTAACCACAGCCTCATTACATTGAATCAATGGTGTCACCGGGGGGGGGGGGGGCATGGCTTTGGGTGCCGCTGACTCTAGTGATGCCACTGCATTGAACATTTCACAATACTCGTTTTTGCCTCAAGAACCGTAGGGAAAAAAATTTGAAGAGACATTTAAGACTGCTTACGTGTAGGAATGTGAAAGCATTCCTACACACAGTGCATTCCTACAAGCAGGCGCCACGAACCCTGCCGGCTTCACGACGGCTTCCATGACGAAGCATTGTGTTGCTGTGCTTTTCTTTGTGTTTTATTAGAAATGGGAATTTAGGTGCCATTTTTCTGCTACAGACGGTTACAGACAATGGTTACAAACAATGCTGGCCCCTTTCTTGAATGTTTCTAATTTACCTTTTCATGTGTTGAATTAAAATATATGTAGGTGCATCTTAGATTATTTTTATGTTTCTTTATCAAGATGTACACGTTTCAGACGCTAAAAACATTGTTTCTCTCTTCAACAACCAAATCTTGTAAGAACTACTTCGCACAGCGTATGAATAATCTGCAGAACTTCCTTTTTTTCCTGAGGGAACAACTAGTATATACTAGTTGATTTATTTCATTGCCCCATCAGTATATTCAGATGGCATCTCCCGCTGTTCTAGGCACTCGTTTAGCATTCAGCTTACGCTCTCTCTTGCCTGCTCTTCTATTCGTTCTACTCAACACAAATGTTTCGTTCCTCGCAAACTTATTGTCACAAACGCTCTTTGCGCAACCTTTTTGCACCACAGGATGGACGGACGTGCTGACGGAGCTGGAGCAGCTGGAGAAGGAGGCCGCCCACCCGGAGTCCCTCGGAGGTCGCTTCGAGTGGCGGGACAGCGTGCTGGTGACGAGCCTCATCCGCGGCGACTGGCTCCTGCTGGAGAACGTCAACCTTTGCAGGTGCTCGCTGCCTTCCTCTTCGCGTTTCACTTTCGATCTGTGAAGCCGCACCGACGCGGCTCACGCATCGTGCAAAAGACACGGCGTTGGCTGCGGACACGACGACAGAATCACCCGCGAACACATGCCTCGAGCGCGTTCGAAGCACATCTGCATTGTGCACGTGTGTGCTTCGGATGCGTCTGCAGACGGTTTTTGTGTGACCAACGTGATCATCATACGAGGAAGAAACATGCTGCAGACTGTGTCTGCATAATGTCTTTTGTACGTCGTATTGGCGGCGTGACCACGGCTTCAGGCATAGAGGTCACACACTGTGCAAGTGGTTAGGCCTAACCTCGCGCTTTATTATTACAACATACTCGCACGCTCACAAGTCCTGCTTGTTCACACACACACAGACACAGTGCACTCTTCACCACTTCCCTCTCCCCTAATTTCCGTTTCCCTGGCCACGAGCTTCCCTAGCCCCACGGTCCCCAGGGCGCTTCCCATGCGTCCTGTCGTGACCTCGTGCCTCCTAGAGCCTCGCCGACCAATCGGTCGGTCGATCTTTTGACAAGGGAACCTCGTCTCAACGGTTGTGTTTTCTTTGGTTGCAGCGCGTCGGTGCTTGACCGACTCAACGGGCTGCTGGAACCTGACGGTGTGCTTCCCCTGACGGAGCAGGGCGTCGTGGGGGAGGCCCTGAGGGTGGTGCGGCCGCACCCTGACTTCAGGTGCGTCCTCGCTTTCTGTGGATCACATCCTAATGATGTTCGTTTGTTTTACGTCGAAAGCTTGTGACGTGTTTGTGGGCTTTTATGGGCACAAAAGAAAAAAATATTTGTGACGTAAAGAAGACGGAATACCGGAGTAGTAGAAAGACTTGCGTGAATAAAACAGATGTCAGTCTAAGGAGACACAGAGAAGACCATGAAGGTGTAGGTAAGGCCACTAAATGTTTCGAAGTTCAGCCTTCCATGGCATTTACTGGAACTGGAATATCGGGTCAGATGAGCTTTCCAGTTGGCTGATGCCAGCCATTTTAATGCCTTGCATGAAAAAAAAAATTAAAGACGTTTACAATTCTCTGTAATGCCGAATTAGAGCGCAGCTCTTGAGGAGGAGTAGGAGAGGAGGGGATAGCATACCTGAGTGACGTCATGAGGGTGACGTCACTCGTGAGTCGTGACCCTTGTGACGTCACTCGTGGTCCTCGTGGCCCTCGTGGTTTTGAAGAGCCAATGAATTATGGCCAGTTAGAATTCGGGTGGAATGAAAGCCAGGGATTCAAAAGCCATTGACTGCAATCTTACTTCTGTTTCTGTGGCGAGGCAGTAGGCGAGCCAAACAAAATAAACAGAGTTTGCCTCTTTTTTTTTCTTTGTACACTGTGTGAAATATGGTTAGTTTCCTTGGTTGCTTGGTCGTAAGTGGTGTGAAATAGGACGTAAATACGCGGTATCAAAAGGAGGCATGGGATTTTAATAGCCAATATAAAGAAAAAAAGCTTAAGCTACCATTTTTTTGTTTTCATTAAACAAACATTTTATTTAAAAAAAAACCAACATCCACTTGTCCAGGCTCATCATGACCATGGACCCCAGGCACGGAGAGATATCTCGAGCCATGCGCAACCGCGCTGTGGAAGTCTACCTTCCGGGAGAGGTGGAGTAGCCTTTGTGGCAGTCGCTCAGAGTGGTCAGCATATTCATTGGATGCGTGCATTCTTCCAGGAGGACGGAGGGACCCTGGACTTGTGGGACACACAGGCCCTGCTGGCATCTGCAGGGCTGCTGCAGCCTGGACTCAGCGGTCCACTTTACGAAGCTCACAGAGCATTCAGCGCGGCCTCCGGTGAGTCTGCTGCTTACAAAAGAGCTGCTTGGCCGTGACTAGGATGCCGTGTTTTAGGATGAATCCGAAAAACTCCGAAAAACACTCGCCGATAAAACCTTCATTCATTCATTCGGGAAAAACTATGAATTTCGACGTCACGATGGCATAACAAAAAGGAAAAAAAGAAAAAGACTTTTATTTTACGATTAAATTTGGTCAGAGTCGGAGATCTTTAAAAAATGTCCTTCGAGTTCTTTTTTTTTTTTAATTTTAGTTGATTGACAAAAGGAGAGCTTGCTGTTTATTTTGTTAAGGGTTTTCCAGGACAATGGGTCAGTGCACATACTTCTGGGCCGTGACAAAAGCCCACCATTTTGGTTTCCAGTTCATACTACTTGTGCTTCTTAGGTAGAGGATAGGTTGTCTTTTCATAACCTTGAAAAATATGAAAATGTAGATTTCGTAGGATGGAGGAGGGCAGCTCTAACTTTTATGCTTCCCAATGACTATGTCTATGAGTTAGGCTATTTCAAAGTACCGTATTTATTCGAATATAGGTCGACCTTTTTTTTTTTTCGGAAATGTTGTCAAAAATGAAGGGTCGACCTATAATCGTGACCAAAGAATTTTGACCTAATTCGCGGCCAAAATTTGAAACCCTACCCAGGGTATGGAGCTATCAATCACCTAGCCGGCGTCGCGGTTGAGCCGCGCGGCTTCTTGTTTTAAAAAGCTTTTGACGCACAAAAACAACCAAACAGCAGCAGTCGACAGCCCGTGGCCGCCGGCTACGGCTCTCGCGCACATTCCTCGGGCGTCGGGTTTCGCCATCATGCCTGTAGCGTTCCCCTCGCTGGGCAAGGGGGAAGGGGAGGGAGAGGAACGCGATGCGCCATGCACTTTGCCCTCCTATGCGAACCATTCCTCTCTCCCTCGCAAACGCGCAAAAAAAAATAGAAAAAAAAAAGAAAAACCGGAGTTCCTTTAGTTGTTTTTTTTTCGGCGGGTCGCGTGTTGCTCACGGGGCTCGCAGCGTTGCTCGTGTCTTTGTATTTGATCTTTCGTGGCTCGCCCGTCTCCACCTTCTTTCGTTTCTTCTTGTCGTCATTTTACAACGGTATCGGTGAGGTATTGTTGCCAATTTGCGAGGATGTCTACCAAACTGACGAAGCTTCGGACGACGATATGTCCGGAAGTTCTGACGATGAATAACTTTTTGACATCGCCCTGTGATTTAGCTGAGAGTGCTGTAAATAAAGGTTTGTTTCTTTTGCCCTAACTTTCCCCTGTTCCTTAAAAAAAAAAAAAAAAAAAGGTCGACCTATATTTGAATTATTTTTTTTTATTCTCGGTGGACTCAATAAATAGGGGTCGACCTATTTTCGTGGTCGACCTATTTTCGGGTAAATACGGTACTCACATTTTTTTTAAGCACCACTTGTTTGCAAGGTTCGTTGTAGGACAGTTAGTACTGCTAATGCCAAATGCAGATGCAAAAGTATTTTTTGAGATCGGCAAGTTATTTTTAATTAAGGGTATGTTTTTGACTGGACGTTGTTTTTCTTTTGAATTTTTAAAAATAAACACAGTAAAATTAAACACAAATTTTTAGAGAGGTCTGAATCTAACAAAATTAAATGAAAATAAACCTCGAATTTCTAGCAAAAATATACTATACTCAGAAAAACACCCTCTGAGTTTCGTGAAAAATAGAGTCTGAGAACACAGAACCCTAGTCATAACACAACAGTAGATGATACTAACAGTGACGAGGTCAGTCAGGCCTATTTCTTGCCATGCGTTCAATGTCTTCTCTTTGTTCCATCAACTGTTGGGCAATGCATCACAATATTCGTAGCTCCAGTGGCAGAGATAGGGAGAGGAGAAACAAGGAGCTTATGCATCTTAGAATGTGCATAGAGAACTGTCGTTACCTCGGGGTTGATGAAAACAGAGATCCAGGTCTTCAGGGACTCTGTCGCGACAACACATGCGAAGCTGGCAGTGTCGCATAGGTAGTGTGGGGCGGTCACATCCCTTCGCAGTGGATTTAGCTTTTGTGAGCTATGAATAAGAAAAAAACACAGAGCTCTCGGAATATCCAGCCCAGCATTATGCATAGGGAGGCAGCAAGCTTTACCACTTAGGTTACTGCCCTAAATGAGGACTTTCTGCCACACCAGTAGCTTGTATGGTAGTCGTTCAATTTTAAGAAACAAAAATTGGAGATACTGGCGATTGCTTGTTTGCACTAATAGTATCGCGCTGGATACCTGTACCCAGCCCATGGCCGCAAAGCCACCTTGACCAACCTGAGGCAAGCCGTGGCGCTCAGCGTCCACAGGCTCGAGAGTGGTGTCTTGCCATTGGACGCCGTGCGGAGCAGCTTCGCCGAGACTCACCTGGTGGCGTGGGATCCACGGGAAGCGGAGGTGGGATCTCACAAGTGGCGACCGACGGGAGTGGCTTGACCAACCGGAACCTCTTTGCTCGCAGGTGGCGTGCCAGTCCCTCGAGGGAGTGTCCTGGGAGGGCACGCAGCTGCCGCAAGCCCAGCAGCTCCTGCTGTCTCTTGTGGCGTCGCCGCCACTCTGGGCGTTGGAGAGGCACTGCGAAGCTGCCCAAATCTGGAGTGACAGCCTGGCCTTGTGTGCCGTTCTGGCAACTTTGTCGGAACCATCCAGGTGAGGGCTGGACATCAAGGTTTGTTTTTGTGGCCCAGCTTCATTATGCCTGGCTGAAGTCCATTCCCAGTCCACCAGAGACTGTGACAGCCACATACTCACGAATTAGTGGACTTGTGATCCGCAGAACTATTGACCGATGCGGTCATTTGGGTGTAGTGAGATTGTCTGCAGTGGAAAATAATGATGTTTGCCTTACGATAGCAGTGTTGCACTGCAATGCTTTATGTGTTTGACATTTATTGCCCACCCTGCATTGACCCTCCCGGTCAGCAATATGAGATAACTAGAATAAATGAATAAATATTCCTCGTCCCCAATCGTGTACAGCTTCGAGAGACTCGGGAGCCAACTTCCTTGGGAGCAAACAGGCAACTTTGGTTTGTTACCTTGATCTCACAAGCTCACTGGGTGCAGCAGGCACCTCTTGAGCTGTCTTTACTCTTATCTGCATGTCCCTGATCTTGTATTCTAAACTAGTTCAGTTTGTATTTGCTGTACAATACACGTGATCCCTCAGAATTACGTCTACTTGACAAAACCATTGCTCTGAGAATGCACGGTGTGTTGCGAGTACACAGTTGCGGTGCAGTAGAGAGGAATCCTAATTTATTAATTAGTACTAATTGTGTGTACCCTTCGAGCCCAAAAACATCACATTAATTGCTGCCTCGTGCAGGGTGGTTCTGCCCACACCTCTGGAACTTCAAGGGGTAGAGCCCCAGTCACTGCTGGGCATGGCAACGCGACTCCTGCTGGAACCCTGCACGCACAACAACCTGAGCCTGCGCATATCCTGGCTGCAGCACCTGGCACGGTCCTTCAAGTATCCACCTGAGCTCGAGCCCTTCCTGAGGTGCCATCTTTCTCTTTTGGGGAACAACGCACTCCTGCAGCAGATTCTGTCAAGTCTGCTGGACACTCTCAAGCTAGGTAATGGCTTGGACCTGCCTTCATATCAGTGTCTAGATTCCGATTCGTAGAAAAATTTAGTTGTAATCAGTCGGACACTTTGTTGTGCCGAGGTGGAGGGTACCCTTGCTACTTATAGCGTCGTTAGTTAGTGAAGGAGAAAGTAGATTTTGATCGAGACCTAGCATGCATCTCAAAATTATATGGCTCCCTACCCCGCTCCCCTGAGTGAAGACAGCAATGTACCGTAGCCAATGTCTGATCTTCACAGTTGCGATTTAACTACAGTGATGTCTCGTTAATATAAACAATATTTTCGGGAACGAACTGAGTTGATTGGGTCGCGTGGTCGCGTAGTCTGCCGATTGTGCATGCGCTGGAAAGAGAAAAGAAGAAGGGGCAAGTCAACTCTCACGCTGTGCTGCGTCAGCTGCAGCTGCGTTCGTTTGTTCTATGTTTGCAATGCTCAATGCTCGGTATAAGGTGGCTAGCCCCATCGCCATAGTGACCGTTTGTTTACGTTCACCCTTTTGGTATCCGTATCATGCACATTTTTTCGCGTATACAGACTCGTGTCTGTCAATTTAAGTTTAAAAAAAAATCCTCTAGGAGTCTTTATTTGAACGAAAGGGCATCACGCTGGCGGAAAAAGATAACGGCACAGCACTGCGTGGCCTCGCAATCCCAGCCACCCGACGAGCTCGCAAAGTGTTGTTGGAAAGACGACCCTGCCAGAGGCGACGGCCGCACACTCGTACATGCGCAGGAAGCGCGGCACTTAAAACGCTTTAGACAAAAGCAAGTATTAATTACCTCTGTGGACAGCGAAGAACCATCGTCGGACTAGTGCACGGCATTTATCTCTGTGTTGGCATCCGTTTCATAAAATCTGTTCTATGAGGTTGGTGTGCGGTCAATCTTCATTATTTTACCTGCACGGTAGAATTGGCAGCAATTTACTTTTTGATTATCTGAAAGCTAAATCTGACTGCGCGTCAGTATTCGGGGCACGTTAGAATCGTGCTAACAGTTTCTTTAAATAAAGAACTGGCAGAGTGAAACTACCAGTACCAGCTTCATTATCCTTATTTATAATGTGTTTTAAAGGTAAGTCCAGATATAACGAACTACTGATAAAACGACCACTTTTCGCAAAATTATCGCGTTCGTTATAAGTGGGTTTGGCTGTATTAACGAGACATGAGTGTAAAATATGTTAAAATGAACACTTCCAGCTACACTTATTTTGACTGCTGGAGTGTTCTTCTGGGTCAACTGAATAGGTTTGAGGTTGGTGAATGGGGGGGGTAGATCTTGAAGAAGCGAAATTTAAGTACATAACACAACCTTGAGGCTGCAGACAATGCACAAACACACACGGGGGTTCTGCTAGGCCTAAAATAATCTGATGGGCTTGTTGGTTATACATAATACACACTACAGTGCAAAGGACAAGAAAAAGACCTAGACAAGAAAGATGTTACATATACCCGTAACATCTTCCTTTTCCTTCGCAACCTTTCCATTAAACGTCAGTTGTGAGTTCAGCGCTTGTCCTGTCTACGTCTTTTTCTTGTCTTTGTCCCTTGCACTGTAATGTGTATTGTGCAATGCCTAACCTTCACCAGCTCATTGGCACCCTGACTTTCCGTTTGAAAATTTAAAGATTGATTTTGGAGAAATTTGCCAGTAGGCTGATTGGGACATGCTTATGCACGCTGAAAGGGTCTGTGAGGGATGCTACAGCACAGAGACATCCCAAACCCAGATACACGAGCAAAAATACTGAAACTGGCGAACCCCTGGGGCAACTATACTTGCATGCTCTGATTACATATAGTTGCGTGGGTATTTTCTCCTTTTCCATTCCAGTTTTTGAGCTGGTTGCACCAGTTTTGGATGTTTACACTAGTGCTGAAAGAGGACATTCGTATATTTTCTATTCAGAGATCACTTATTTCTAGCATTTGAAATTAATCAGATCCAGTTACGTCCTGTAGGAACAAAGTAAAATGACTTTGTAAGCACCCTCTTTTTTCTTAATTTTATGATTATGTGACACAAAGGCGTTCTACGAACTGCTGCGCAGACGGAGCCGGCACCTCTGTTGGAGTCCCGCTCCGTCTAGAAGACCTGCCTCTAGACCTGTATCAGTGTCCTGACCTCCTGGCTCGCCTGTGGCCTCGTGGCACCCTGGATGAAGAGCTCCGGGCCTCCTCACTTTGGTAAGTTTCGTACCCATCTTCCCAAACCAGTCCTACAGCTTTAGGGTAAAAGGTAGCCTTGTTTCTGGCTGTTTAGCTGAAAAGGGCACTAAAGCTGTTTATGAAATCCTCTTTTTATGGCATATACTCAATCTGTCTGCCCTAAACAACATAGAAAATCCAAAATTACAACCATGCATGACTTTTTTTTCTGAAAGCGTGACCAAACACCGATTTTCCTTCTGCGGTGTACTTGCATGGACGGGCAGGTTTTGCTAATGCCGAGGTTGCGGCCGTCGACGATGTAAATGCTTGAGGCGTTGTTATGGTCGTCGGCGTCGGGAGGAGCAGAAGCGGCTGAGCGTGCGCCTCTGTGTTCCTTTTACTGGCGCGGGGCCCGCAGCGCCATGGGGTGGCGTTCCTAGGAACTACGACGTGTGTCAGCCAATGGGAGCTTCGTTCCTTGAAGCTATGACGTGCGCCAGCCAGTGGGAGCCTATCCGCTTCGCTCCATTGGGACAGGGGAATTTAGGTGCCCTTTGGCGCAGCTTCAAAAGCTGATAACACCGGTTCGCTCCATGGTACCCGGTTAATACTTTCTCATTATAAAAGGAAGATGCCTCAGGTGTAGGGCGCTCTGCCTATCGCGATGCCTGGGTGGACGCTTATTCTGGCCCCAATTGAACGGTGGTTTTCGGTCGCTTTCATGACTGGCAAGACATAAGAGCTTGCATGTTGGTGAATCCCATAACAGGTCCTACATCACTGATCTTTTAAATTTTACCCTTTCATTTGCTGTCACTTTTTTGTTACACGAATTACAAGTGAGGGAGACTCAGGGTTAAGCAGGTCTGCTACATATGGTGCAAGCTAGGGTATGCCTTGGTGTGCTTGGGCTGCCGGTAGGGGGGGAGCACAGGAATATCGTGGGGTGTTGCCTGCTGTGTGGCATTTATAGACGCATTTAGTGCATCTCAAGTTAGTCACCGCCACTAATTTTCCTACGTTTACTAAGACTCCAAGTCGCCGAAACCAAAGATAAATGATAAATTCATGCGAAGCCTAAATTAGTTCTACATGAGGTTACTGCCTAAAAAGGCAGTAACCTCTTGTATGGCTGTAGTCCGAGCTGACCAAAACGAAAACAAACAAAAAGGGAGATGCAGGTGCCTAGGAGTGCAGCATTTATTTGTTTATTTATTTATTTTCATACTCTCAAGGCCCGGAGGCTCTACAGAGAGGAGTGGGTGATACAGATGAAATCGTTGGCAAGCTTCTTGAAGTATGTGGCGTCCTGGATGGACACGATGGAGGCTGGGAGGTGGTTTCATTCGTTAGATGTTTTTGAAATAAAAAAGTCAAAATAGATGTTCGTATGACATGGTGATTGTGGCGAGGTGACACATATGACGGATGAAAAAGTAGTTGATCTTTTAGAATTGGGTTAGAATAATAGACTTTATGGAAAAGACAAAGAAGAAAGTATTTACGGCTTAAAGCAAGGTCAGGTAAGTCCAAAGTTGTCTTCATTGATGAAACACTAGCAGTACGAGAATAATTAGAAAGGATAAAACGGGCTGCTTGGTTCTGGACTGATTCGAGAATGTATGATAATGTTACATGTCCCGGATCCCAAACGAAACAGGCGTATTCGAGTTTTGGCCTGACTAAGGTTTTATATAATTGCAGTTTGACGGGAAGATTAGTGGAACGAAAGTGGCGGCGCAAAAACCCAAGCATACGATTAGCATTATTAGAGACATAGTCGATGTGCATGTTCCAGGAAAGGTTATGAGTTATGTGAATACCAAGATACTTGTATGAAGCAACAGCATCTAATGGTATATCATTAAGGATGTATATGGCAGGGTCAGCGTTTTTAGAGAGTCGGGAAACACGCATGCTTTTACATTTAGTAACGTTAAGCTTCATTAGGGATTCAGCGCACCAAGAAGAAACTACGTCGAGGTCTGACTGTAGTATAGCACACTCTGGGGCATTAGTAATTATGCGATAAAGTACACAATCATCCGCGAACAATTTAATAGAGGAGGCAATTTGCGATGGGAGGTCGTTAAGGTAGACTAAAAACAAGAGAGGCCCCAGGACAGATCCCTGTGGTACCCCGGACGTTACGGAGTAGTAGAAGAATTATGCCCATTGACAGAAACATATTGTGAGCGGTTAGATAAAAAACATTTAACCCAGCCCAAGATGTTAGGATCAATATTAAGTTTACTCAGTTTCAAGAGAAGTAGGTCGTGCGAGACAGAATCAAAAGCCTTAGCACAATCTAAGAAAATGCAGTCAACTATTAGCCCGGCATGAATAGCAACCAACAGGTCATTAGTAAACGATACAAGCTGTGTTTCACAAGAAAAAAAAATTTCGGAACCCGTGTTGACAATTAGTAAAAAAAGAATTCGACTCGAGAAAGGCAACAAGGTGAGAGTAAATGATATGTTCAAGTAATTTACACGGCACACTAGTCAATGATATGGGCCTGTAGTTAAGTGGGGAGTGAGCAGTACCTGATTTATGCAAAGGAACCACCTTCCCTACCTTCCAATCGTTGGGCAACGTGCAACACTGCAAAGACTGTGAAAAAATTTCGGAAAGAATCAAAGATGAATAGGTGGCGGTGCTCTTCAGGAACTTTGAATTGATTCCGTCAATCCCAGCACACGCGGAAATTTTAAGCTTCTGGATTAAACAGTCGACACCAAATGAATCAATACTAACAGGAAACATAGGACTATAATTAGGGCTGAAAACAATTGGATAACAGGTAGGAGTCGTGTGGGAAAAATAAGAAGCAAACACATTGTTTAGGACATTGCAACAATCGTTTAGATCTACAGGAACATTATTCGCATCACAAAGCTCAACCGCACTGGATCTACTCCCGCTGACCACGCTCCAAAACTTTTGTGGGTTATCGTTTAAAAGAGAAAAAAAGTGTACACTGATAACACTCCTGCTTTGATTGTGCGACAGCTTGTTTATACTCCGTATCAGCAGCTTCGTAAGCGTACCAGCGCTCAGCACATTTTGTTAATTTTGCGCGCCGAAATAACCATTTCTTTTTATTTCGCAGACGCTTAAGGCGTGCGTTAAACCAAGGTGCCTGTGAATTAGAGCGGATGCGCTTCAGAGGGATGTACTGGTCAGTTAGGTCACTCACTTTTTGCTTGAAGAGAGACCGATTTTCTTCAACCGTTCGCGTATGAAAACGTGAGATGTAATCAGTTAGAAACGTGTTTAATTCATTATTAATTGAAACAAAATCGGCATTTTTGTAGTCATGAATAATCTTAAATGCTTTATATGAGGAAGCAGATGCCTGCAGGTCAAACTGAACAACACAATGGTCACTTAAACCTGGTAAATATGCTAAGGGAGACACAAGCTCAGGGGTTGTAGTGAGAATGAGGTCTAATACATTGGAAGAATGAGATGAACATCGTGTTGGCTCTTGTACAAGTTGCTTTAAATTAAAATCAAGACAAAGGCTTAGAAACGAAAGAGCCTGTAATGAGTGATTATTTATTGTGGGGGTGTCGTTTTTCCAGTTAATTGTGGGAAAATTAAAATCCCCCAGAAGAAGCAAAGACGAAGAAGGAAACCGTACTACCAATCTATTTAAAACATTGTGAAGCTCAGAGCAAAATGTACTAGACGAAGAGGGGGTTCGATAGCAGGCGCAAAAAATAAAATCCTTGTTTCTGACATGTACACGGGCACATACAAACTCTAAAGATAGGTTAAGTGGTATAACGCTCGATATTGTAGAATCACGAACAGCGATAAGAACACCGCCACCTGAGCGCGAGTCACGATTGAAACAATAAAATTTGTACATACCTTCACACTCAAAAATTTCAGTTTCAGCAATTTTACTGGAAAGCCACGTTTCGGTCAGGATAACAATATCAGCTGTACACGTGTCGATAAGAGATGACAAAGCGTCGCGTTTGTTGCTCACGCTTCACACGTTAGAATACAATATTGAGATGGTGTTAGTCGCCGGGCCTTTGCATAGTTATGTTGATGGCACGTGTGAATTATAATTGCTTGGACCAGGTGCGGAAACTGCGTTATCGGTGCCCGGATGCGGCGCAGAAACTGTATTATTGGCACCCGGAGGGAGAGACGCGGCGTTGTTAGTTAATTAAAAAAATTATTGTTTGTTTCAATTTTGTTGTACACCGGAACCCATGCTGTCTCGGCACAGGCTCCAGCTGCTTCTTCGCCAGTGGGACCTCGAGGCACGTCTCCCGACTCTGGTGGAGCCACGAGATCCCAAGGCCCCTCGTTTGGGTGACCCTCTGTCCCGCATGTTGGCCGCGTTCATCGATTGGCTGACAAGTGTTGCCCCCGTTGAGGAAATCTACAGCAAGGTGATCCTCATCCTCGGAGACTGTGGCAGCGGAATTGTATATATTGTGTCAAATCCACACAAAGAAGACTTTGAACAAAGAGGAGGTTTTGAAAGCTTACTACATCAGAACCGTAGCCCGGTACTTTTTTGTCGCAAAAGCAAAGTTAGTTGACTTGACATCTTGAAAGAGTCTGCATTCGTTGTGAAAGTTTAGAGGACAATCCAGTGTGCAGAAAAGCTTTCCGTGTGTGTCAAGAAAGAGTGTTCTCAAACTGTGTTCCTAGAAATCCAGGAGTTTCCCAGACTGCCCTCACAAGTTCCCCAAGCTCCCAACTTTCATCGACCGTCCCTAACTTTAAAAGTGCATTCACATTGGTGATGTACTGCACTCGCGCGATGTGACTAAATCGCATCGCAAAATAATCAGATGGTCACACTGGCGTGTGCAAGTCGCTTTCGAAAACTTTTGCTCCGAACGCCGCTGATCGGCTCAGTCTCTCTGCGACTGGATCGCATTGCAAAAAGTCGGGTCAGCTAGTGACTGCTCAAAACTCGTCGCTTTTTTTCTGCGATGGTCGCTTTTGCGATAAAAGTTATCGTGCGACTGCTCCACATCGCCGGTGTGAACGTGCCTTAAGTAACTTGTTTCCTCAGTTGCCAGATCCTCCAAATATTCTTGTGTTCCAGGCACGACTGGCCCAAGAACACATAGAACGACTGTGGCAGGCCTGCAGCGAACCCGACATTTCACATTGCCTCACCGCCCCACGCTCGGCACGTATCGCCCAGCACTGGAGCTGGCTTCGCAAGGCTTTGAGCCACTTGACTCCCCACAAGGATGCCAGGCCAGAAGACGACAGCGACTCCCCGTCGCTTGCGTCGACCGTGGCCCGGGTGGACCAGTGCCTCCTTGACCACCTCGCACTGCACCAACACAAGCTTCGGAACCGCGTGGCAAAGCGTCTGGGTGAACCGCAACCATTGCGGGAAGAGGAAAATGCTGTGGCCTTTGAAAAGGCATGCGGGTACGTGAGTCACGCTCAAATCTTAAAGGCTCAAGCTCGGGACAGAACAGGAGGTCTCGGAAAGTTGTGGGCTGCTCGTTAAAAATTTAAATAAGCGTAACGCAAAGGAGTGGCGAGCTGACTAAGCGTGTGGCGAAGCGGCTCGCTTCGCTGTCTAAGCACAGCACATGGTCTTTTTTTCTTGTCAAGTTGTTCCTCATCGACAATAACATGTGTTTTATGTGTCCCCTTGTTATTAATTTTTTTCAACCTTACCGTTTCAAATTAGAGCATGTCGCTTGTATTCATGATAGAAAACCTAAAGAAATAAACTAAAGGGTAAATTCAGTCAACAAAGCTATCTTCTAGGTTTTTGAATTCGGGCAGAGGGCAATGATGTCTGTATTCACTCAATCAGAAAGTTAAAAGGAAATATTGTACGCTGCAAAGATGAAATGGGCCATTTCCTCCTTGCCTTGAGTTTCCGTAACATGAGTAAACGTTTATCATAAATTCTGTGCAGTCTTTAAATGCCCCTTTTTTTGTGCAACACGTTGTTTGATGTCCGACACTTGTTGCAGGCTTGCTCAGCGTGTGTGGGAGCTTGCCCGAGGTTGTGAGCAGGCCGAAGCAAGCTTGTCTTCTGCCTGTGCTTTGGAAAAGTTGCCAGCCCTGGAGGACTATCTCGTTCAGCTCCTGCGAGGCACACCGAACCCAGGTAGTCTTTCATGTGTACGGGCAAGTACGAACCAGGTAGCAGACTGACAAACTAGTGAAGTGCGAATAGGCTGCCAAGTCTACATGCCTGGTAATGGCCACCAAGTGCTCAAGGGGTGGTCACAGATTGTTTCCTAGTGTTCACATTGCTCCCAAAATATGCCTGATGAATTCAGTTTTGATTTATTAAAGGTTTGATTTAAAAATGGTACAGTAGTACTTCTTGTTTGACACGAAATTCGTGCACAAAAGATTAAGGTCAACCGTTGACCGATCTGGTTAAAATATATTCAGTACTTTATTACAGCGGAACTGTTAAGGGCTAGGTTCCCCAGGATCGTGTCCGGTACCAAACAAATGTCGACACAGACCTCTGGACAGCTACCGCCATCTATGAGCGACGGCGACAACCAGACAATCGGCTTGCCAGCCTTGCCCATAGATGGCGGCAACCTTTCCAGCCTTTCCACTCTGGTTTTCTCCAGAGTGGAAAGGCTGAAAATCTCTAGGCTTCGTCCTAGATGTCGTCCTTGAGGTCGTTCTAGAAGTTTTCCTTGAGTTCGTCCTAGACGTCGTTCTTGAGGTTGACCTCGAGGCCGTCCTAGAACTTGTCCTTGAGGTCGTCCTTGATGTCGTCGAAGAGGTCCTCGAGGTCGTCCTAGAAGTCATCTTGGTGGTCGTCCTAGACGTTGTCCTCAAGGTCGTCCTAGAAGTTGTCCTTGAGGTCGTTCTAGACGTTGTCTTCATAATCGTCCTAGAGGTCGTTTTAGATGTCGTCCCTGAGATCGTCCTAGGCGTCGTCTATATGTCGTCCCTGAGGTCGTCCTAGGCGTCGTCCTCAAGGTCGTCTTAGAAATTGTTCTTGGGGTTGTCCTAGACGTCGTCCTTGAGGTCCTCCTAGACGTCATCCTTAGGCAGCGTCCTTGAGGTCGTCCAAGAAGTCGTCCTTTGAGGTCTTCTGACCATAGTACAGCTTCGCTGGTCTTCCTTCTACATCAGAGTGGAAAGGCCTGAAAGTTTTTCTATAGTAAATTTTTATTTTTAACTTTGCAATTTTTTGTTTATTTTAAAGAATTCAGGCTCTTGTTTGCTCATCAACATTCTCAGAGGTTCCAATGTGTATTGATTGCATTTACATGACTATTTGTGTTGTGCTTGTACTTCTGGCACAGGCCAAGATCTGCTAGCTACCCTGGAAAAGGAGCTTCTGCCAGTTGAAGAGGACAATAAAAAGACGATCGCTCGGGCCGCAGTCAGCCCTGTGGATGCGCTGCGAGACCTCGTGCAACTGGTTGAAGAGAGCCTGGCCCTCGAGTCTTTTCTGGAAGGCCGCACCGAGGGTAGTCCAAAGCGAGGGACCCTCTGGCACCCGCTGCATGGCGCAGCCTCTGCCCTAGCCCTTGGCAAGGACCTGCCGGAAAGCAACAGGAAACCCCTGCTGGGGGAGGTGTCGGCATGGTGGGTGGAACACCTGTGTGGACTCTGGGACACGCCCACTCACCTGGGCGTCGCCCTGGCTCAAAGCGTCGGATGGCAAGATCGCCAGACTGCGGCAGGATGGCTGGAGGTGTGTACTTGAAAAAACAGGGACATTATGCATTGTTTCTTGGTAATGTCATATTTTATTCTGTTACAATGAGTTACAACCATGAGTATCCGGGACATTCGTGATTTGTATGTTACGTGCCAAGCTGCTACTTGAGTTGGTGGCCATTCAGCATATGAAGTGTGGATGTCTCGGTGACTTGCGGTCGTAAGTTCTTACAACCACCTAGTCAAACTTAGTCAAACACTACTGTGCGAATGGGTCTCAAGTCTTTTTTTCACGAAAATAGGATATATGTCAAGTAACATGCAATGAGAACACTCTATTGAGCTCCTCTCCCCTTCAAAGTGCTGCTGATCATTCGGCATGTCCAGCCATGTCAAAAGTTAACAGAACCCTGCCAGTATGCTTCAGCAGTTTTTGGCCATCAGCAAGCTACCCTTTGAAAGGGAGCTCCAATGTCAAACCTTTCAGAACTCGAAGCTGTCCGTGGCGGGTTGCCTCGGGGTCTTTTTTGCAGGGCCATCAGGTGTACCTAAGCCCCCTCATGACTGTGACCTGCTGTGCCATGGCCGACGGCCCCGGCTTCCACCTGGGGCTTCGAGACCGCTCGCCCAAGTGCGCAGAGCTGGAGGCCCAGAGGCGGCTGTTGGCACGGGGCACAGATCCTCGCACCCTCTGGTACGCCGGCCCAATGGGATGTTCTTGATAATCATCATTCCGCAACACTGTACACAAACAAGCCAAGTTCTGGCAATTGTTGCAAAACAAGATGTGCCAGCATCCTATTTTATTTTTTTGGCACATTTTTTTTTTTTTGCATAGTGCTGTTATCTTGGCTTGCCGTCTTTGTAGGCATGTCTCGTTAATATGGATACCCCACTATGTAGACAAAAATGTCGGTGACAGACTGTGTAAATATATGCATTTTCGTTTCGGCGTTATGGACAGCCTACATTGTGGACGATTTTTGGGGGCCACAAAGGTGTCGAAATTAAAGACATGCCTGTGTCTTGCTTTTTGGTTTGATACATGGGAATTGACTATTGACTATAATTAAGGACGAACGGGTGTCACTAGAAAGTTTGAGTCTCAAATCCTGGCACAGACAATTAGGTTCCGATTTGGAGTATTCTGACAAACTCGACAGCCACGGCTTTTTCTGACCACCAGGAGGCAACGAAATAGTGCCTATGGGAGGGTCTACTTGGTGCTGAGATGCTTTCTTAATTCTTTTTTATTGCTGAAAGCCAGAGAGAACAAAGTTTCTTGCCTTTGGTCACTGTTGGCTACACTGTGATAATCCCCACTGTACTAAAGCCCAGTACCATGCAATGCTATGCTTCAAAGTGTCAGCTTTGCCGCCCACTGCATTCTGCAGGACCAGTCAGGCAGCTGCTCTGGAGCAGTGGTTTTCTCAGCTGGTCTCGACTCTGCCCGGTTTTGCTGGGAGGGAAGGCGACTGGTGGATCCAGCTAGACATTCCGGAAGAGTTTCAGCTGCTGGTGCGAGACGCTGCCCAGCAGCTGCAGGCATTGGCAGACAGCCGTGAGTGCCGTGTTGGCCAAGAGGGTGCACCTCACCCGATTCTCTGCTACCTAATCGTCCTTTACATTTCGTAGACACGTTTAGTTTGCCTTCTTTTGGTAAGTTGGGACCGACTGATAGAGAATGAACATAGGTCCATAAATAGGCTTGGGATATTGTATGGGATGGTCGCATCACTTTTGGTGCGCATCAAAGGAGGATGGGAAGTTTCCTTCTTTGATAGCCAAAAAATTGCTAGCCCATAAGATAAAAAAAAAAAAAAAATGTAATAAGATCAACGAAATGGTTAACTGTGTTGAGTGAGGAAACAGCAATATGACAGACTTATAGAGGGAATAGCAAACACAAAAGCGCATTTCTCCGTACTCCTTTTGTTCCTAGTCTCGAACTGCCATCCTAAAACAAGAACATTGTTTTAATTTGAAAAGAGTATATTTATCTCCCAAAGTGCTGTAATGCATGGAATGCACATCTAAGGATTGTTTCAAAGTACAGTAAAACCTCGTTATAACAAAGTTGAAGGAGCGGTCGTAATTATTTCGTAATAACCATTAGTTTGTTATAGCCACTGTTGATTTCTTCCTACTATTAGCAAGCAAGGGGAATTATGATTGCTTTGTTATATCCGTTAGTTTGTTATATCCCATTTTGTTATAACGAGGTTTTACTGTAATATCAAAGGTAGGAAGCCTGCACTGGAGACCGGACAACTGAAAGACCTCCCTGTGGTTTTCTTCCTGTTGCAACTTTAGGGGACAATAAACAATCATTTCAAGAAGTGAAGAAGACCATACTGTTTATCGATCGATGTCACACATGCGGTCACGAGATGTGCACATGACGTCAGATCACATGACTTGACGTTGCGCGATGTCAAGGACGTTGTGCGACTTCATCCTAGATTTTCGTAATACAATTGAAGCAAATAAGACATGCTCCTTGCCTGCCTTCCATTAGGCCCCTGGTCTCCGGAGCGCCTCTGGTGTTTGGGACTGGCCTGGGCCCGTGTGGGACTGTGCAGCCTGCAGCTGTTGGTGCCGTGGGACCCCGTGGATCCCGTCTACAAGGTTGCCCTTAAAGTGGCACACGTGGAGAAGGAGGTGGGGGCTCTCGGCTCGGGGGTTTGCCGTGCCGACTACCATGCAGTCTCTCATCCCTCGCAGCTTTCGAATCGGGATGCGGAGCAACGTCTTCGTCACTGGGCGCACCGGGCACATACGGGCAAGCCGCCGTGCCTTGAGGGCCACCCGGCCCTCGCTTTGGAGGCGGCACGCCGGCAGCAACTTGCAACCCAGCTGCAACGTTTGTGCGCAAGGAAAGCCCACCGGGGCCCCAACAGCCAGGCAAGGGGCTCACCAGTCACGTTTTCTGGGCTCCATTTTCTCCCCAGGGTAGACAAAAGTATAACATTGATGTGACAGTCAATGTGTCGTCTAACTTGGTTCGAAATCCTGAGCAAGTAGCGTATTGTTTATTTTTTCTATTTTCTCAAACCTAAGGAAAACTGAGCTTCTTCGCAAAATGTCAGGCCCCGAAGGTTTTCTTTGCGAGCTTCACTTTGAAGTTTTTGGAACTGTCTGCTGTCTTATCTTAAGAGAGAGGAAATAACTTAAGTCAAGAATAAAAGAATCCAGTCTCTATTCCGCCGTCGTTAACCCCACACTTTCATAGTTTCATTCACAACAGACGAACGTAGGACGTACCTAGCGTCCACGGACCGCTTCTGACGCTTTCTCAATTGACTGTTATAGTACGAAGAGCTTGCCCGTCAGATGCGCCATTGCGCTGCCACTCTGGGCAGCAAGGAGCGGGTTGGAGCCGTCTTACAAGGCCTCGAAAACGCCCGGCAAGGCTCCCGTGCACCGGACGCCGAAGCCCGGTCTTGCCTGGCCGCCCAGGAGGCAACGGTGCGACGGCTGCGGCTGGAGCACCCCACGTTCAGGGACCTGTGCTACCCCTTCCTCTGTGGCCTGGCCCAGGTGAGGTCACTTCTGTTTAGTGTTGGGAAGTACTTTAAGTACATAAGTACTTAAAGTCCTTTTTAAGTAGGTTTGGAAAATTTGTACTTTGCTTGAAGTACATTTTCTGAATATGTGCTTCTACTTTCCTTAAAGTATTATTTTCTTGTACTTTCCGAGGAAAGTACAACTCCCGACTTCAGAATACATTCGCCAAATTTATTTTGTTAGATTTGTATCACAAGATGGTGTTTTGTCAGCTCTGAAGCAATACTGGAAGGGCTATTCTACTCTCACCAAAAGCGCGAGCACACGACGCATCCTTATCTGGTCATTTCTTTGAGTGAAGTAATGGTGGCTATAAGGCCAATACAAATAAGTGCCTTTTAAGTTGATTGTGTTAAGTCAGCAAAAGTAAAACAAGTACTCTGTGGCCACCTGACTTTATCCAATATTTGCCATCATTTCCGAAAATTCCCAATTACGGAATGGAAGGGCACGATAAAAAATTGTGTTAAAAAGTACTTTTACTTTACTTTGAAAGTACATTATATTTATAGTACTTTACTTCAAGTACATTGCACCTGGTCTACTTACTATTTTACTTCAAGTACATTACTTCTCATCTACTTTCTAGTTTACTTCTAGTACATTTTGGATGTACTTTACCCAACACTGCTTCTGCCCCGTCGATTTGCCTCTGTGCGGCCAGGTACGAGCCGGGCGTGCTTACGACGTCCTCATTCGAGGTCTCTCGATTTCTGCCCAATGACATTGAACTCGTTGCGCCGTCGGTCACCACAATCGCAGCAGTAGCACGGCTGCAAAAGTGGATGCCGCAGACCCAGGGGCGGATCCAGAACTCCGTTTTGGGGGGGGGGGGGGGGGGGGGGGGGGGGGGGGGGGGGAGGATTTTGTAAGGATACTATTTTCCCATTCTTTCGTGTGCACCAAGGGGTCCACTCATGTCAAATTGCCCTCCTAGAAGGGGGGAGAGGTCGACTTAGTTTAGGGGGGGGGGGGGGGGGGGGGGGCGGCTCGTCGCCCCCACCATTCCCCCCCCCCCTATTTCTCTTTGGATCCGCCCCTGCGCAGACCTCCGTTGCACCGCATCTCGTCTTACAATGAAACAGTCTGTAGAAACTAAAGCAGTCCGAATAAGAAATGCTGCAATGCCGGCAACCCTCGCGTCCACTCAACCAACATTTTAAATGCCTACACACTAGTGATGGGGTTGAGCAGACAACTTCAGTGGAAAGGGGAGTGAGAGAGGCAGAAAGAAAAATGTGGGAGGTAAGAATCCAGGAAAAAATCAGCTCTAACAATTTACAGGACGCAAGAAAGGAAAATGAGTTTGACAATTCACTGGGACGTTCTTTACTGTTTGAGGCGAGAACCGGAGTTTTGAGGACAAGGACGTATAGGGCGAGATTTCAGGAGAAAGACAGATTATATGCTGCCTGCCATAATGAGAGTGGGACACTAGAGCACTGGTTTTTGAAGTGCACGGGGCTTCGCCCTGCCCTCCCTGAAGGGGTAACAGATTTGGCCGGGGTCCCGGGTTCCGCCAGCAACGATGGAAGGACGGAAGAGAAAAGGATTGCAGTCACAAAGAGGCGATTAAAAGATTGGTGGAAATCATCTAGGGAAAATTGAATAATGTACAACTAACTAGCACAGCTGGGGACAGGCGAGACAAAGGAAAATTGGGACTCGGTCCTGCGTGGCTCCGGCCCAAACTCTCATCCCTGTCCTCCAGTGGGTCCGGTGCAGGGGTAATGCCGACGAGGTTTTACCAGAGGAACTTTATAAGTGACTCCCTCGCCGGGGGCAAGAGGCAGGGGTGATGTTTTTAGTTTTTTTGCCCGATCCACCGAAGGTCATCCTGGTGATATCCCACACGTCCCGGGGGATAGTTTGGGGAAGAAAATTGGCTTAGAAGGGTGGGAGGAATCATATGTTTGTCTTCTTAGACTTAGGCTAGGTGGTGCAAGCTACTAGCTGTTTTGGAGGGTATAGCCATACCCTCTAAAGGCTAGAGGTTCAACTTCTGAACTACTTAAGTGATCCGAATGAGATCTGCAGGGGAGACTTAACTTCAGATGCAGGTGTGCTGTGCAAACTTTCAGCGATATAGGACAACTTTACATAACTGCATAAGAAGATGTGTCACTCTTCGTTGAGAAATCTATGATATGCAAATGAAGCTATTAGGCATCATTTTAACTGCTTGAATATAAAATGGGGGATGTGGGACTTCGAGCTATCTAGTTTTTATAATTCAAATATAAATATTTCAGGGAAGAGAGTCATTACCTTGAAATTTGAGATGCATATCTGTTTTATGTCAATTTTTGAAAAAAATCGTTTTTTCTCAATGAGGATTTTAACTTAAAACAATACAAAGCAGATAGCCTGATTCCCCAGTAAATTTCAGTTCAGAAACTTCTTGATTGTGCTATTAGAATAATTTTACCTTCAAACAAAAGATTCCTTCGTTTGAAATTTGCAGCAAAAAGCGGAACTGAGAAAAATGCATTCAAACATTGAACTCCTTTACTTTGTTACTGCCTCACAATTTGTTGAAAATATTTTATATCAGCATAACTATAAGGAGCATGGTTATGAAATCTAGTGTAAGGGTGTATAATTAGTTTCTAAAACCAAAAACCTCAAAATTGAAAAATGAATTTTTTTTTTTTAATTTTTATAACTTGGGCTTATGTCCCCCCTCAACATCCATTCATCCTTTTTGCTAGCATTTCTGTAACCAGCCACTGGGATCGCAACATATGGCATGCCAGCCCATGTGACGTAATTTGTTGCCGCTACTGCACCGTTTTCGATTTATGGGCGGTATAGGGCGATAAACGCGCCAAATGAAAATACATTTCAGGCACCGTACCAGTACAGAGGGCACGTGTGGCAGCAGCCTATTTTGTCTTTTTCAGATGGCCCAGGGAATTCGAGTCCTGGCAACGCTGGCCTCGTCGAGAAGCTGCACGTCCAAGGTGAGAAAGCAGGCTCTCGATTCGTAGGAATTTAAGAAAAACTTAATTCAATAGGAAGGAGGTGTTTGAGTGTCCTAAGTACAGTCAAGCACATTTATAACGAAGTCTGCGGGACTGGCTAAATTTTTTGTAGGACTACATAGGTAACTTTGTTGTAGAATTTCAGCGCGAAAAATCTATTGCATGACATCGAATTTGTATTATCATGTATTGAGGTACCTGCACGACATTCGAGGCGTTTTAAGAAAGAGTATAGCGGCAAATATAGTATGAGCAACATCAGAAACAAGGTTTTGTACGTTGATAGTTGACTTATCTAAAGGGAGAATGGTGACCGAGTCTGTTAGCGCATCGCAGCTTGGAGCACATGAGACAAAAGCTCGCACTCCAGAATCAAATCATCTTAAACGGGCATTGTAATAATTTTTCTACTTTGCGCAAATACCGCTTAGAACGAATCCCTGACTTTTATGACCAATGAAACTCGCATTTGTTTTTCTTCCCACGCAATAAACGTCGCAAAAAAAATCAAATAAAAACGTGCAGCGATTACCCTCTCAACTTGCAGCCAGAACAAGCGGCCATGTAATCTGGGGCTGATTACTAGTTGCCGCCAATGTTGATCCTACAGCCATGCGCTGAGGTTGTCAGAGCACAGGACACTCGCCAAGTTCCAGGCATTGGTAGGGTTCAGCTATTGTCGTCATCGCCGCGATTGAACGTGAGCCACTATCCAGATGTTTGTCGAGCTATTGATTATCACGAGCTTAAATAGAGTGCTCCCGTAATGCTCGGGTTCAATCTATGAGCAACATTCAAATATGATCACTGGGTGACTATGCCGGCACTGCTACCCCCACGCTACATCATCAAGTTTTGCAAAGGAGAGACTGAAAGAAAGCGCTCACTTTTATTTTTGAGATTACACCGCAACAAAGGGATTTCTTGGTCAATGGCATTACGTGCAAATATACTTGGGTCCCACTAGGGCCAGTAAACTCATGTAAAGTGAAAACCCTCCAAATGAATATCGTTGCATTACCCTTTCAAGCACAATTACAACTTCCTTTCTTTTTTTTTTTTTGTCCCGGCTTGCATTTGTGTGCTCACCACTGCATGACGCAGTTTAAATACCCCAGGCCAGCGGTCCTATCGCCAGTACTGCCACTGGCAAAGTTTGTCATCTACAGCCGAGACACCGGGCGCTCCTTGCTGCAGACTAATTTCCTGCCGTGCAAACTTCCACACAACAAACTTAACTGACTTGTTTAAATCGTAATCACAATAATCACTAAACCACCGACACTGAGCGCCGATCACGCAGCGAATGAGAGGCGTTCGCCGAGTGTATAAATTTGGCCTTTTCCGAATCGTTTGGAGGAGGCTCTTAAAGCAACTGCGTTGTTCTCGTAGAAATGGGTACGACAGCGCTGCCGTAGCAGCACGCAGAGTCGGCCACCTATTCGGCATCCTCGCTCCTCGCAACGTGCAGTGCTGCGAGGAGCGAGGATGGGGAGAGGTGCACAACCGAGCCGACTGGGCCCTTTTTCAGCTGTCCGGCACAAAGAAAGGGGTGCGTTTTTCTATGCAGCTCTACTGATATTGCTTAGATTTTGGTGTGATGGGTTGTTACAAATCACGTTTTCTCGACTTTATGTTATCGCTCCAAGACAGAGCAGTTCGGGACTCAGATCAAGCAAGACTGGGAATCTCGGTTTCTGATGAAAATGGGCGCGTCGGTCGGCCAAATGTCTAGACAGTATAGACGCTTTGCAGCAGCTGTGCATGGACGCCGCCATAACTGACCTTCAGTTTTTGCTTCCTCTTATTTCGTTTATTTCACTTCATCATTACCATAGCAGGCCAGGTTATTGCCATATTAGATTCAGCTGTGTCCTTTTTTAAAGTATCGGCCTTTGTAGAGGATCGTCAACTGCCGTTTCAGTTGCTCGGCATCTCGATAAGACAAGAGAAGGTCAGCAATGGCGGCTGTAATTTGGCGCGTGTGTAAAGTGTCTATAAAAAAAATGGCGACTGCCCACAAAATTATTTTTTTATATATATATATATATATACTCTTGTATGGACGGATCCTTTCAAATGTGCTAACATACATGCAAAGAAAAGATATTAGTGCACGCATAGCTTGAATGGAGCATTGAGAAATGAAAACGCATCTTGGAGCGAGGTGTTGCATACTCCAGCAACAGCGTGAGCAAAACTAGTACAGCACAACCTACTTATAGAGATAGCACATATAATGATGTACCACTTATAACGATCTGTTCATAGAGTTTCTAGACTGGAAATGATCAGTTTCTTGTCCAGATACAACAATAATCGATTGTAATGATTGAAATTTCGGGTTTCCTCATTATCGTTATAAGTGGTTTGCACTGTAAAGCCAACAAAAGTATGCACGAGTGCGCGCAGCGGATGCGGCGTCACATGCGCCACACTGTACATTCCTGGTTTCAAGTCTAAATAATTTGTTAGTATGCAACCTTGTGTCTAGATGGTGCTATGTAGCTGGGTACACATTTTCTATGCAGCAACATAGTTGCTTAGCCCCATTTAGACAGAAGGTGGTACACTAGCGGATTATGTAGACTCGAAGACATGCAGCACGGCGACAACAAGGGGCGCGGCGAAGGCGGCAGCGTCGACCGTCGCCCGGCGCCGCTTCCGCAGTATTTCTGTTCTTTGTGCACGTCACTTGTGAGCAACAATCTACATAAAATCTATTAGTTTTCACCTAGAAAATTTGTAATACCAGTCATTTTGCTCTGTGGGGCCGCACGATCGCTTCGTTAAACAGAAACATTTGCTAAACAGGAATTTATTGAAGTAGTCAAAAGAAACGCATTGAACACTTGGGAGTTTGACTGGGACTTTACTTCGATAAATGGGTGTTTTTGTCGTACAGTTGAGCCCGGTTATATCACACTCAGGTATTTTGAATTATTGTTTATATCAAACAGTCCAAACCTCCCCTTGTAATAGTATAGTAGGAGCATTGTCTTTTTGTATCCAAGTTCCATGGTGGGGAAACTCGATATAGCAAACAAAACCTGGCCGGCCGGCCGTTGCATTTCCCGCAATCCGATTGCGACGATGGCGAGCACATTGCTTGCGTTGCGTGGCTGGCAGACCACCCAGCCAGCATACACGTGGGAAGATAAGCAGCGAAAGAGCAATTGTTGAAAAGGAGAGGCAATGAGCCGTAAGAAAAAAGAAGTGGACGGTGGCAAAAGCAAGGGGAAGGGCATGCGCGTGCGCGTAGGGAGAGCAGGGAGTGCTTGCTGTTGAAACGGTAGCCTGCACCCTTTCCTTGAACACTGCTGATGCTGCACGACTTCCTAGCCCCCAAATAAAATAAGCAAAAAAGAAGTCTTCGGCAAGTCGAGTGTGTCGACAACAACGGTTGTGTATCGCACTTTTAACGCCTTATCTTGGTTTACCTTTTTCTTTTGCCGTTCTTGCTTTGCCCGTTTTTCTTCTTTTTTTTTTTGCCTTTCTTTTTTTGCTGCTTGAATTTAGCAAGCTTTTTTTTTTTGTTGTTACTTGCTTAATTTTTTTTTGTGGATCAGTAGATTTTATTTTTTTTATGCATCTCACTTTTTCGTTTTTCTTTAATTTTTTTTTTTTTAATTGTTTTTGTGTTTTGTCGCTTATGCTGTTCCCGGCAGGCGCGCGAGTAAGCGCCGCGCTGTTTGCAGTCTCTGCCAACTAGACTCTACTGTATTTAGTGGCTCCTGTACGCTCTATTTGGTAGCTCCCATTTGCCGAGACCTTCAGCATTAGCAAAAACGCCAGGAAATTTCAGCTTGGGTTTAATTTAACATATTTTTGTATATAAAATATTGATATATCGAACTATTTTACGATCTCCTTTGAATTCGATATATCCGGGTTCGACTGTAGAAGCGTTTGTTATAGAGGCGTTTGACTGTAACCCAATTTGTAGTCATATGCGAATAGGGAATTTTGAGTTCAAAGTGAATAGTGCTTTTGGCCGAATATTTTCGAATCTAATATTGAATAGTTTCTCCAAGCCTTTCACTACTGTTGCACCATGCTTAAGCGAAAACCCAGCTGAACTCATGGCGGTGTTTCCCAAGCTTCGACTTGTCCATTTATAAGCTAATTTTAATCTAATTATATGGACTGGCCTCAGAAAGTCCGAGGCCTGGGGATGGCAAGTAGACGGCATATTTGACATTAAATTAAACCTATAGAGATGTTATCTGTGCCTAATCTAGTGAATTTACAAATCTTGCTATATGAAAATATTCTTTCTTCAATCTCGAATTTGAAGAATAAAAAAAGAATCACAAACGATGAATGCAGGTTGTCGGAGCATCTCTGCCTAACATATAGGTACTCTTGCATAACAGTCAGTTTAATTTTGAAAATTTTCCTGCAATATAGATATCAACAGTGAGAAAGTTTCCTTTTTGTATATACACCAGGCACGAGTGTGCGCCATCTTGCTTTGAAAGTGTGTTTTTCTCCCAAGCACGAAATTGCGATATTCATACTTTTCCAAGTGACGATAGCAGCGAGTTACCCTGTTGAGTGCGCTTTTTACCGAGCATCGGTGCACTGCGGAGAAGCAACACCCAGGAAGCTCGCTTCCACAGGTGTTGCTTCTCTGCAGTGCACCTGTGCTCGGTAACAAGCACGCTCAACAGGACTAACCTACCGCTATCATCCCTTCGAAAAATATGAATATTGCTGTCTTCTTGAAGCAAATATCGAATAGTCTATTATTCAAAACTACTATTTTAAATATTGAATATTCGCAGAACACTATGGATTGGGACAGGGAGCCAATTTTTCTCAAGTTTGATTCCATTCATTTATTTGAATATCTTAAAGGTTCAGTTTTATCTCTGGTTCAGTTTCAGGGTTTTAAATCGCCCAGAGATAATGCAGAACTCTACCCTCTTTTTTTTTTTTTTTTTTATACGCTCAAGCCTGCAAATTTAAAGCATTTTCTATATCCATACTACATTGTGTGGCTCTGCTTCAATGAACCTGAGAAATTGTGAGAAAACCTTGTGATTCTTCTCGCTCTAGTTAGAACCAATCTCTTTAAAAAAAAAATTACAAGTTTCGAGTCGTGGTTTGTGCACCCTTCCTTTTGACCCTATTTGTTGTCACTCAGACCGCACCGCCACTGCTTGCAGGATCCCCGCCGCGAGCTGGTGCTATGCCAAGGACTGATGTTCCCGACAGGGATGTCCCCCAAAGCAGTGTCCGACCTGCTGTGCGGCTCTCAGGCTTCCACCCTGGCAAGCAGTGGATCCCAGCGACTGCTGCTTCTCAGATCGGCGCTACTGGAGCTGGTTAATGGCAGGCTCTCGGATCACGCACGCACCACGCAATGGCTCAGGGTGAGGAAAAGATAGAAGTCGCCAAGAATTACCTACATCATTCTATGAAAGTTATTGTTACGCTCTGGGGACGTAAGCGAAAGTCGCTGCATCAGCAGGAAAAGCCCGACGTTTTTGTCTAGTCGATTTTTGTAGGTAGTGATGACCAGAGGCGTATAGGGACACTCCATCCTTAGTTGCTAGGGGGGCATGGGGAGGACATGGACATTTGCCACCAAAGTTGCAGGGAGAGACTTTAATGGGTAATAGGGAGAATGGGAGAGACAAAGGAAGAAGGATGAGACTGGTTTGAGCATTAAATACAAAAAGATTATGCTTACGCTTCTGCACCGATCCCTGGCAATTTGGCAATTTCTTTCATCATTATCTGATGGAAATAATAAAGGACCTAAAGCTGTCTGTCTTAAGTTATTGTCGGGTAACGATTTTGCTCTGTCCCCGTTTTATTTTTGTCCTTCAATCTCCACGCTGATTATACTGCATGTAAGAAATCTGATCCTGTGCACTTCAATTCCTCGAAGCTTGAGATTTATTATGTTTAGCATTTGCATGCTATCTTGATTACCCAGTTCATAAGTGGCACTGAAATTTTCAACATTTTATTGTTGGAGTCCACATAACACTACTTGCTCACTCGAGCCATGATATAAGAAATGGGAACTTTGTCCAACTCCAAACTTTGCAAACCCACGCAGAAACTATTATTGCTGGTAATTGTTTGCAAAGAATGAAAGTAAAATGTGGACGTTTCATACATTGTTTTATCTCATTGATACTGCAGTTCGCAATGTTTACCTGAATTGTTCACCGGCACTCTACCCGCAGGCCGCCCGTCCCGTGCTTGGCCAGCTGGTCCATGCCTGGCAGCAGAACGAGGAAGAGGAGCGCCAGAAGCAGGAGAAGGAACAGAGCTTGTACCAGTACCGCTGCCACGCAGGGGAGCCATCCCAAGAAGAGCTGGACGAGCAACAGCGACGAGCCCTCTTCCCCAGCTATGCCGAGGTGACTAAAGTCGCTAAATTCGGGTAGGGTGCTGAAACAAGCCTGGATGCAAAGTTCTGATTGGTTGAGCCACTGGTCACACTGTTGTGAAGAGAGGGTGCCCAGGATGCTTTAGTGGGATCTCCTTCGTTTCCTCTTTCTGCGTGCTTTTCTTTCTTTATCTTTTTTTATCCTTTACTCGAAGGAGGATTAGTTTCACAACATTACTCCCCCTTTTTCTTGCCCTTTACGAACAAGATAATCAATATATTCATTCGCAGCGCTGCCAATCCTTCTATTGACATTGTCGTCTTGTGCCGACACCCAGGAAAAAGGGAAACCCTGTTGTTTTTCTTAAGTTGAAATTACGGGCTGCCGGACTTAATACATGCTTCTTAAACAGTGGGCAGATAAGGTATTTGTGTTATTTTTAGTGTTGTGCGAATACTGTAAAACTCCTTATTTTCACGGCCTCTATATTTCGTGAATCGGTCACAGACGGTGTAATCGCGGCCTTTAAGTTTTGCGAATTCCAGACCCCTTGTATTGAAACGTTTGAGGACCGAAATTTTCGTGGGCCCTTAAATTTCGCAAATTTCAATTTGCGAAATTTGTGAAAATTAAGGGCTCACAAACATTAAGGGTTTTACAGTATTTGATATTCGAATAGTAGTTTCGAATAATACAGTATCAGATACTCGCTTCGAGATGAACTCTGATATTCATATTTTTCGAAGTGCTGACCGCGGTGGGTTATCCCCGTTGAGTGATCTTCTTACCGAGCACTCAGGAGATTGTTTCCGCAGTTGTTGATTCTCCACAGTGTACCGGTGCTCGGTAAGCAGCGCACTTAACAGGGCAAACTTGCACAATCAAAACTTCTGAAAGTATGAGTATTACAGTTGCGTGCCTGTTGTATTTAAATAGGAGTGGAAACTTTGTGGATGTTGATTCTACGCTACAGTAAAATTTTCAAAATTAAACTGTGGCTATTATTTCAGAGTACATGTCAGGCACAGATGTCCTAACAACCTGCATTCATCTTTCATGATTCTCTTTTATTTGTTTTCTTTTTTTTTTTTGTTCTGGATTTAAGAAACAATATTTGCGTATAGCGAGAAGATTTATAAATTCATTCGATCAGGTATAGTTGTTCATCTTTAGAGGTTTGATTTTATGTCAGATGCATTGTTTTACATGTCATTCCAATCTAGGCAATGAACTTGCGGACGCTACTGTCCATAAATGTTAGAATATAATTAGCTTACTATAATATCCCAAGTCATCGCCCACCCGCCTGCCACCTGGAAATCATAGAAAACGTGCTGTGCTCCATGTCCTGGTGGGAAAAGCTCAAAAGTTAAAAAAAAAAAAAATCATGAGCCATTTTATTTTGTGAATGTGAATGACCAGCAAAGCTGTTTAGCACATGATACAGACCTTCCCCGAGGAGCCGGAGGATACTAGACACACGCGACGGGACCGCCACCCCAGGAGAGCGGAAGGAAAGGAAACTAGGCAAGCAAGCGCTTGGAACGACAACAAAGAGGGGGCGGCGCAAGCGTAGACATGGCCGACACGGGTCGCACAGCGGCAAATCTTTGAGAAACCTTTATTTTCTACCTGAGAGTCTACAATCTTGAAAATGGTGCTTATTGATAACTAATCTAGTGAATAGACCTATTGCTAAATTACCCAAGCATCAAAGAGAATGCAGGGAATGGTGTTCCACGCGCCGCACGTGTTGGTGTCTGCAGCAGTAACTGTTCGAAAGCAATTGCTTCGAATCTTTTATACGAGGAAGGCGTGCGCGTGCGGCGGTGCGAGCATAGAGCTTTTTGTCACTGCAGGTAAAAAGTCCACGGAACCCTAGCCATAAACAGCTTCGCTGTAAAAAAGACGACGATTTTTCTGTACATGTTTAGCACGGCTGCACAAGAGATACGTTAAACTCAAAATTCAAATTAGTTTCATTGTTTTATGCATTTTTAGTGTCACAAAGTTGGTTGCTTGCACACGCACGGTGGACACTGCCGATTGGCATACAGCGCAAACGTTTTTTCCGTGACAACAGATTTCTGACAACACTTTGCGTAAACTAAGTGAAGTTTCTTTTTGTCCTTCGTTTCTCTTCATCACAGACGTCCTCGAACCGTAAGGTCCGCGGCCGCGTCATTGGGGTAGGATTGATGTTTGCTGATCGCAGAGTCTGCATTGGGGTATTTGTAGGGGTGGGTGATCACTCTCCTGGTTTTTTTGGAAATCAATATTTGCCCAAAAAGTGGGCTGGGCAATGACTGGGGATATTACGGTACTAGTTATGTACAAGCGGTAGCTGGGTGCAGTTTAGTGAAAGGTTTGGAGAAACTATTTGATATTCGATTCAAAAATATTTGGCCAAAATCCCTATTATTTGCCTCAAATTCGCTTCTAACTCAAAATTCACTATTTGCAGAAGCCTAGCCATTTTATTCCAAATGGTTACTTGGCCAAATGTTCAAACTCTCAGAAAACCTAGAGAAGTGTGCAAGAGCTTAAAACAATTATGAAAAGTGTGCAAGGAGTGGTTTGGGAAGCCTGCAACAAAGCGGAAGTCAGCATTACATATTTTTAGGAAGCTTGCTGAAATTGGCCCCTTTTGTGCAGCAGCATATTTGTTTGAAATACAACTTAAGTAAGCATGTAATTTCAATATCCAAGAAACGTGCCTAATTAAAAGTTGAGTCTGAAGGGAAACAGACAGCAGATGGCACACAATGACATGAAGACCTTGTTTATGCCATTTTTGGTATGTTAGCATCCTCCTCCTTTCAATCAGACTTTTGGAGTTTCGTGAACGTCTGCAATTGTGCCCCTCTACATGTTTACCCAAATATTCGAAAGGAAACACCACTGTGGAACTGCATTCCAATACATGCAACGGATGCTGACTGTCGGGAACCGACGTACGCAGGAATTTGAGGAGGAGAAGGACGTTCTGGAGACAAAGGAGCAGCCCTGCGTGGTACCACCTGCCGCCTTCGGAGACAAGGAGGCGTCCGAAGTGTGGCGATGCCATGCCGTCCTCGCAGATCCTGGCAAGCCTTTGGGAAGCGTAGACTGGCTCGGTGCCCTCGAGCTGCGTTGCCGGGCGCTGCGAGACTCTGTGCGGCAGCTGGGACCCTCTTTGGGTAGGTACACTGCATTCCACTTATTGTAGCCTTAACCGAAAATTCACCAGACTCACTTCAACTGGTGCATGTTAAGACTGGTTTGCACATTTGTGTTTGGCAGTGGCCGAGTGGCGCCATCTGCGAGGTAGCCCTGGAACTGCGCACAACTAGACCAAAAGTTCCACAGAACTTTCGAGATTGAATCTACACACCACCTATGACAAACGGTCACTCATAACCCTGTGGAAAAGTGTTTCAAGCCTGACGTGAGAGAATGTTGCATTAAAAAAAATTCAGAAATGAATGCAGATTAGATTCGTTCCAGGGCTACCCGATAGGTGGCGCTAGTGTGGTCTTTTGTTGTAAGAGATCACAACGCACTCAGTCGGTGTAAAACACATGCGTGAGCCAGCTTTTAGCTTTGTTTGGTATCGGAAACGAGAAGCCAGCCGAAGGCCGGCCGAGATCCACAAGTGTTTCAGCGGCGATGACGTTCCAGATCCGGAACTGGACTTGGAGCTCTTGGGCAGCCACATGGTATCATGCTGGTCCCTGGAGCAACGCCTGCGGGCTCCCGAAAAGAATGTGGCAGAGGAGGCGGTCAAGGGCCACCAGTTTGACTTGTACCATGACGGCGTCCTGGAGGAGATGGCGCTGTGCGAACGGCCGCTACGCTGCATCATGGCACGGGCCGAGGCCCTGCTCGAGCAGTTTCCTGGGCACCCCGGTCTGACCAGGGTAGGCCTGGCTGAGAGCTCCTTGTATTATTCATTAATGTGAAACTCACTTTGGCTAGGTGTTCAGCCTTTCGTGGAGCCCAGATAAAAGTAATGCCTGGATAAAAGCGTGGCCGCGAGGTTCGACACTGATTGGTTGACGGGGAGGTCATGTGACCATAGGGGTAGGCCAGGAGGTGCTTGTCCACCTTTGCGCACTGAGGGAGAGGAGCTCGAGAGTAGGGAGGGCTCAAGAAGATCGCCAGGTTTATCAGTCTGATTAGTGGTATTGTCGCTTCACTCTGGGAACAACTATCGAGTGTACACGTGGTACGCGTTAAACTATGTGATGAAGAGTGCCGTGAGCGTAGGCATCTGGTGTCTGGAAGCTCAAAGTATCGCTAAAGGTATCAGACGCTAGAATGTTTCACCTGTGCAACACAACTGCCTTGCGATTTGCCATAAAGATTTTATTTATTTGGTAATACTATTACCCCAATACAGAGGTATGGTAGGATAGGGGAACAGACAATAAAATAACATTTGTAGAAATAAACACGTGCTAAGAGGCAGCCAGGTGACGCAGGAAACGGTTGAGAGAACGCATAATGGTGATATTGAGGGATAAGTTAATCTCGTCCAGTATGGTTCAAGGAAAAGCAAATTTATAAAACAATGGATGTGAAGCCGAAAGTTACATTATGTTTCTTGAATATGAGGCTCTAGTGTTAATCCTGGTGCAGAATCATTTCCCTTGCCACACAGAGTGTCTAGGGATACAGGTTCCCTAACCCCCTGTTTCCAGGGGACTGCGGCTAGCAAACCTAAGCCACGTTGTCCTAATACGAGCCTATCACCTTCGGCCGTTGCAGCTGCTGCAAGTGTGCAGGCGTGTGCTGAGCCTAGAGGTGTCGTCTCCCCTGATGCGAGTGCTCCAGGGGCTGGAGATGCTGCTGGTCGTAGGGCAGGTGGGAACACCAGGCAGGTCCGACCTGCGTGGCAGCGCTTAAGGGATGCTCATTTTTTCTCGCAGGAATGGGAAAACGGCGCTCACAGGAACATCTCTCTGTCTGCCGAGCTAAACGAGATCACCCAGCTGGTAGTTCGTTGGCGCAAGCTGGAGCTGCAGTGAGTCATTTGTCTTACAAGCATGCGAGGTTGGGTCTAGTTAAATATTAAGAAAGAATTTGCATGGTGAGCATATTATTTAAAGTGTCTGGTGTAAAAAGAAAGCAACAGCACAGCTTATAGAACAAAATAGTCAAACCGGAAGGTGAACTTATACAAAGACATATCTTCCCCCTTCTCATTCTCTGTGACTGGTGTTATCTGCAGTGAAAAGAGGGAACAACGGAATGTCTATCATGCACAAGAATATTTACTCTGGGCCTTAATGATAAGGTCATTTGCACGTTTTGGCACTTCAGATTTCTGTTGAGTGTGGGAGTGTCATATAAGTTCCCACGAATGTAGTCTCATAACTGGGATTCCAAATATGAAATCGGAAAAAACGACGTAACATAGGGGCAGCTAGATTTGCACTAACTACGCTTACATGCTAGCTCAACCGCTTTCTGCCCACCCCTGCAGGGGCTGGTCGCGCTGCCTGGACTCTGTACAGCAGAAGCGACGTGATGGCCAGGCCCGCTGGTGGTTCTTCTTGCACCAGCTGCTGGCTCCTCTGATTCAGGTAAGCTAAGGGACAACCGTAATTTTTTCCCGGCGCCTTGCATACACGGCTCATCTCTGCAGAAGAGCAAGTCGTCGCTCGATGACAAGACGCGTCAGCGCGTTGGGGACGAGCTGGTGCGCTTCCTGGGGGAATGCCGGCTGGGTGACCTGGAGTCACGGCTGGACCTCGTGCGGCCCTTTCTGCACGAGGCCCTGGCCTCGGGCGCTCCCCTGCGAGGCCTGCTCTTCAACCTGTGCCACTTCTACGGACAGTACCTGCCGGCCGTACAGGCACGCATCCAGCGCGACCGGGAGCCCATCGAGAAGAAGCTCAAGGTGGGTTTTTGGGCCGAAGCACTTTACAAAGTTCCAGGATGCGGTGATGATAATGATTGTAATGGTTGTGGTCAGCGGCGTAACCAGGAATTTTTTTCGGGAGGGGGGGGGGGGGGGGGGGGGTGTTGAGGTGATTGGGATGTTCATGACTTGGGGTGTGGAGGGTGGGAGGGGGTTAAAGATGCATCTGTATGTTATAGGGTCAGCTAAATATTAGGGAGGGAGGGGGCTGAAGCCCTATAAGCCTCCCCACTGGCTACTGATGATGATGATGATGATGCTATTGATAGTAATGATAATAATGATGGTGATGAAATTTCAGTTTTTTATTGTTTGAGGCAAGTTTTCTATCAAGCACACCACTTTCTACAAACTTCGCTGGATTACTTCTGAAGTGTCTTGTCCCATTTGCAGACTTTTTTTTTCGTAGCTACAGTGTTGTAGGATGTCTAGGCAATATGCCTATTGCAAGCCTTGCCTACATTTTCTCTTCTATGGAGAAGGCACACAGGCACTACAACTTCAACTGTGCTGATCTTGGTAGCAAAGCAGCAAAGGCTGATGACAGTAATTTTGGGACATTGCAATAATAGGATTAATTTTAACATGAAACACTATTTGGCTAGGTGTTCAGCATTTTGTGAAGCCCAAGGGTGAAGCCTGGATAAAAGCGTGGTTGCAAGGCTCGGGGTTAAGGGGCTCCGGAAGATCACCAGGTTTATCATTTCAAGTCTACACATGCCATGTGTTAAACTACCTGATGAAAAGTGCCGTGAACGTACATGTCTGGCTGAGCAGGCAAGACGTGCTGCTAAACAATGATATAAACATTTGTGATGGTAGGGTGTTTCATGTATGCAACACAATTGCCTAGCAATGTACCACACATTTTTACATTAATTGCCTCCTTGATGGAGGCATGTTCAAAACAATAGAGCTAGGAAGAATCCTCATGGCTTTAAAAGTTGTTTCTAGTAGTCACAAAATCCAAGGACCTCCGATGGTTCCATCTTTCGGAGATTGGTCCGACACAAGATGTTCTCGCAGGAGTATGTGCGCATTGTCCGTTGGAAGGACATCAGCTTCTGGGCCATCAAGCAGACCGTGGAAAAGTCTCACCGAGTGCTGCACAGCCACATGAAGGACTTCCAGGTGCGGACTGCTTATACTGCATGTGCGTAGGACTCAATTAAAACATTTTTCTGCATGTTGCAGCTTGTCCTAGACCAGGAGGCAAGCTGCACTTTTGAAGCACCTCCCCAACGGCAAGAGGAAGACGGCGAGCGAGGCTCCCTTTGCCTGGACCTTAAGCCTCGCCGATTCCTGGGACCCGTGCCTTCCAAAGAGGTATGCTGTCGTTTCAGTGAGTCGTGTAGTAATGGGGCATGTGTGACATGCTTGTTTGCTTTGTCTTGCCAACCTGTTGAGCAAGCGAACGTGTTGAGACGGGACTGTTTTCGGATCAACCATGAATCATATGTCTTTTTAATGTGAAAGCATTAACTGTCCCATGGAGCGAACTGGCATTATCAGCTTTTGAAGCCGTGCGCCAAACGGCTCCTAAATTCCCCTGTTCCAATGGAGTGAAGCCTGTAGTCTCTGGCGGCTATTCGATGGATAGCCTCCCATTGGCTGGCGCACATCATAGTTTCAAGGAACAGCACCTTATGGTGCTGCGGGCCACGCGCCGCAGCACCATAAGGTGCTGCGGCGCGTGGCCCGCAGCACCATAAGTGGTGGCGCCCGCTCAACTGGTGGCGCCCGCTCAACTGCATCTGCTTCTCTTGACGCCGACGAACATGGCAGCGCCTCAAGCATGTCCATCGTCGGCGACCACAACCTCGGCAGTAGGGAAACCTGCCCATCCACGCGAGTACACAGACAAACTAAGAGAGCGGAATAACCCAGCACAACAAGCAAGGAGGCAAGCAGCAAAATCCACCATCGTTGTCAAATCTCCAAATATACGGCGGGAAAAACAAGAGCAGCGGCGAAATGCACTAGGAGACAGAGCAAAGCCTTTCGAAAGCGTGAGGCGCAAGCGGATCACAATTCAAAACGTCTCAGGCGGCAAGAGGACAAAGCCCTTCGACAATGCGAGGTGGAAGCAATACGTCGCCGGTGGCGTGCTTTTGCATTCACAACTCATAAGAAGTGCTTAGGTGTCCTCGGACTTTTGTTCCTGAACTTTTACGGGCATATCAATCAGAGTGTGGTTTGCATTTTCTGGGCTATAGTCTGCAGCCAGTGTACAGCCCACCAAAGAAAATTTTAGCTGAAAAGTTCTTGGACAGTTTGTATCATTGCATATTTGGCACTGTTTGCATAGTCCACAACAAGGCCATATGCCACAGATAAGAATATTAGGGGTGAAGCTCCTTAGGGTCTAGCATTGTCCGTCCGTCCGGCGTCCGTGCTCACATAGAAAGAATGTTTGCGCAGCCGACAGGATTCGAACTTGTGCAGGGAGACCCCAATGGATTTGTAGTCCACCGCCTTAAACACTCGGCCACGACTGTGGGACGAGTAGAAGGCTCTGAGATGTGGTAGTAACTCAAGAGCTGGGGATGTCATGGATGAAACATTGCATGTAGCCGCTCAACGTCTATACAGGAGAGGGCGCGGCGATCAAATGCATATATAATCGCGTTAAGCTTTGCATGCATTGGCTCAACGTTTATAGACGAGAGGGCGCTGCGGTCAAATGCTCAAATGCGTATATAACCACGTTCCATACAACACATTCTCTTTCTGTCATGGACTGTTGACTTAAGCGGTGGAGATGCGTTCCCACGGCTTCTAGCAGATCCAAGCTGATCCGCTAGAAGAACCACTGGCTCTGCATTTCACTGACCATAAAGCAGTAATAATGAAGTCGAAACGCAACCTATGAGCAATAAAAAAAAATCAGCACTACCTATGAACAATAAAATCAGTATCATCAGCACCACCAGAGCTTCGCCCCAATCAACATCATTCACCACTTGGAGATGCGGTCATTTTTTTATTCTGTGCAGCACCCTTCGAAAATGCCTGCTTTATCAGTGCACAAAAAAGTTTGTATCAAAGAAACAAATCATCATTACATTATCTGTCATTCACAAAATCTGCCACGTCTTGTCATAATGAACGAGCTTGAAGAAACAGATCCTCATATAATTCGCACCTGTAGGTGGTCCACACCAAGTATAATTACAACTTTTGAACGTGTATAGTCCGCTGACAACGTATAATCTGGAAAATACTGGTACTACGTAACAAACTGGTTAGCAAATGTTGACTGTAATTGGGATATGTAGTACATACATGCCTCGACATAACATGCTTGCACTGTATCGTAAGGTTCGTCCTATTTTCGCTAACAGCCTCGAGCTTGTCCGAGCCCAGTGAAGCAACTTCTTTCGGTGCCACGCTTCTCTTCCAGGACGGAGTGCCGCGCTATGCTCGTCGGATGCGGCAGCTGCTGGGGCGCGTGCTGCGCAACGATGCCCTGGCGGAGCTGACGCTGGAGTTGGACCAGCTGGCGGGGCAAGTGGTGGCAACTGTGCTGGACTTCGAGAAGCAGGACGCCATGTTGGGGCGCCCGGGACCCAAGGGAGACCCAGAGGCGGACAAGCGTCGGCAGCAGGCACGGCTGGCACAGCAGCTCAAGCGCAAGGCACTCGCCGACCTGCTCAAGGCGCTCGCTCAGCTCGGTATGGGTCTCGGTCTCCAGGAACGGAGCAACAATTCTCGGTCTTCGGCCAGTTGATTGCGGGAATTTTTTGTGTTGCATATAGAATGAAGAACAGAAAACCATTTATTTCTTGCGTGCGCTAGTTTTTATTAAAAAAGAAATGAAGCAAATTGAAGGTCGGGGTAGTGCTCAGTTGACACCATCTTTCGAGTGAGGTGCACAGTGACCACTCGGAGAACCCCATTCTATTCTATCTTCGGCGACCCCGGGCCTCCCTTCATGATTGTCAACTTTTCGGCTACGATAGAACACCACGCCCGCTTGGCATCGTTAAAGATCGTGGCAAGCAATTGAGACAAAAGACGGCTCGCCACTAGAAAGATGGTGAGGGTAGTAACGGAGAGGAAACAGCGCCACAAAAGCTTGCGTGCTCCAAATGACGTCGCGCCATACTTCCGACGACTGCCACACAAAACTGCAGATCAAGAAGATTTTTTTTTTTTTTTTTTTACGATTACGGGGTGAAATTGCAGTATTTCGGGGGAAGGTGGCATGTTTTCTCTCACTCGTGTCAAGATAAGCCATACCGTCAAGACCGGTTATAACTAGGCTGTATACTTTCCGGTTTTAACCGGAAAAGACGGATAAACATCCGCCGGTGTCGAAAAGAAAACAAATCGGGTAAAACCGGTAAACGCCGGTTTTTGGATATTTGCACACAAGCAACAGTTTTTCTGTTTGTTTTTTCACCGTAAAAGTCTCGTGAAAACGTTCCTCAAACTCGTTCATACTTTTTCTTTACGGTTGTCGTTTAGGTTTTCTAAGGTCTCTTAGTAATCGAGATGTGTTTTTGCTGTCATCGCTGATTACTTTGACCGTCAGTTTATGTCTCCAAAAGTTTGTCCTCATTGTGCCCTTTGGTAGATAGCCCCGTTGAAGGTTGCCCTCCTTCTCTGTGGACCCTAGTTAAGGGGGGTTTGAAGAGTCTTTCATATTGTGTGGGTTGAAGCGCGTCCGGAAGCTGCATTCACCAGACTGGCTAGTACTGTCCCAAGGCTCTTTGGACATTTTGGGACTTCCCGCGTCTAGCGCAAATGTAGAGCGCGCGCTCTCGAGATTGCGCCCAGTCAACAGGAAGAAGCGGGTGGCAATTAACAGATGCGAGCCTTGAATGTATGCATGCATATATTAGAGTAATGAAGTGTGAAGAATATTCTGTAGTATCAGATGTAAATGAAAATTGAACCGTTTCTCGTCTTGATTGTTTGTTTCTATTCGCGATTTTCTCCTTCGATAAAAGCCGTTTCAAGCGTCTGCACGAGACAATTCACCGAAATGCACCGGTAATTTGGAAATAAATAAACACCAAAAAACATCCGCCGATTTTTTTTACATAAATTAAAGCCGGAAGGTATACAGCCCAGTTATAACGAAATAGCGGCTACAGCGAAGCGTTTATGATTTCCCATTCCCTTTTGCACTTCGTTAACCGAAGTCGGTTATAACGAAATAGCGGATATAGTGAAGTGATTTCCGATTGCCGTTGACTTCATTATAACCAGTCTCGACAGTATAAAAAATACAAGCTGCAAATTCTTCCAACGTTAAAATCGTTGCAATGCCCCTTTAAAACCCACTAACCTGGATTGGTTCTGCCACAAGAAAAGGGAAAGCACCTTTCTGTTCGGTATCATCGGACATCAAACTCTCGTTGCAAACTCTGGACAGATGGTCAGCTGCTATTCTAAGCTTTCCTTGGAAGCTGTTTGTTCCAGTGACCCTGTTCCTTTTGTTTGTGTTGTTTTGATTGTCAAGACTGAAGCTTGGGCACGTTGGTGGAATGTGCTTTAACGGCGAGAATAGTGTACACGAAAGACGACAATAAAAGAAAGGAGCACACACACGGCACTGTGTAGGTGCTTCTTCCTTTCGCCGTCGTCTTTTGCGCACGCCATTCTCACTGTTCGATTGTCAGTTAATTGGGATTTGCCAGAAAATTATGAAGTTGTAACATCATTGAGGTTGTAAAGTGGCGGTGAACATCCCAGTTCAGTGGTGACTGTCGATTTCAGGGCTGTCCCATCGCAAGGGCCAGCTGCGGGGTGCCACGCCACGCAGCATGCTCGAGGCGCCTGCACTGGAACTGAGTGCCACGCTGAGGGACGGAGCAGCAGGCGCGGCCCTGGAGAGCAACTGGCAGGGCTGCCACAGTTACTACTACCGCAGCGTGGCCGGCCTGTCCACCCTGGCAGCAAGCTGTCCCAGCAAGGTGGGTCGGCTCCTTGAATAGATAGGTGGATGATAGTGGCTGTATTCTTTGTAACAGACAGTAGCTTGCACCACCTAACGTTCAACTTGTCAGTGCATTTTTTTTTCTGTGGCCAACTTTCTTTTTGTGATATATTATATGAGGCTCAAGCATCTTCCGTAAAGTGTAGAAAACCTTGACAGCCCCGAGTGTTGGTTTGGTTGGGGTTTAGTGCCTATTTCTCCTATAGGTTCTCTTTTTGTTTTGTAGTTAAACTTTGCAGACAATATTATCTGAAACACCAAATCTGGACTTGTTCTGCATCTGCGGTTTCCTCAAGTTTTATCTCGCGATTTGCTAAAAAGTTCAAAGAGGAGGTTTTAAACTTTGCGTTTTATCACTGGTTCAGATCAAAGCTCTTTCAGAAGCCGCCAATATGCCAAAAAAGCATGAAAGATTGTTCCAGTTCATGTTACCCTTGATAGTGCATACTCTACTTGCACCAAGCTGATTAATTCAAAGGATATGCAACATAGAGAAAAACTGTTAAAATTGCATAAAACACGGAAGCTGAGCTCGAACCTACAAAGTCAGCTATTTGTATCACACTATTCTTCATCCCAATTTTTTTTTTTTTTTTTGAGCAAAAGGGTATATTACACTATCCTATACTTAGGATTCTGTGTTTTCGGAGTTTATTTCTTGTGAAATGAAGAGGGTGTTTTTCGGAGTTCATTTTTCGCTGAAAATTTGAGGTTTATCAGAGTTTATTTTTGTTAGATTCCCAGTTCTTTAAAATTCTGAGTTCATTTTACTGTGCTCTTATATTGGAAAAATTCAAAAACAAAATAAAGTTTGGGTACCATGACCCGTTGTCCTGAAGGAATCTTGATGCGCTAAAAGGCAAACCCCTTTTACAGCGAAGCTGTTTATGGCTAGGGTTCCGTGGATTTTTCGTGTGCAGTGACTAAAAACTCTACGCTCGCACCGCCGCTTGCGCACACCTTCCCCGTATAAAAGATTCGAAGTAAATAACCAAAATAAAGCATTGACGAACGCGTGTGCAAGATACCACTTGTTTTAGGCTTTCGCTTTAGAACAGTTACTGCTGCAGACGCCAGCCTGTGCGGTATGTGGAACATCATTACCTGCATTGTCCTTGATGCTTGAGTAATTTAGCGATAGGTCTATTCGGTAGATTAGTTATCAATAGGCACCATTTTCAAGATCAGTAGACTCTCCGGTAGATAATAAAGGTTCCTCAAAGATTTGCACCTGTGCGACCCGCGTCGGCCATGTCTACGCTCGCACCACCCTCTCTTTGTCGTCGTTCCAAGCACTTGCGTGCCTAGTTTCCTTTCCTTCCACTCTCCTGGGGTGGCGGTCCCGTCGCGCATGTCTAGTTTCCTCTGGCTCCTATGGGCAGGTCTGTGTCGTATGCTAAACAGACACAGACCCACTGGTCGTCCACCTTCGCAGAGTGGAATGGCTCATTATTTTTTAAGTTGTTCTAGATTTCAAAGAAAACTGAAGTGGCATCTCCTGAAGACCATTTAGCCTGGGCTCTTATAAGGCTTATTTGCTCATTGTGACTACGGCTAGGTGTTGATTAAGGATTTTAACGCAATAGCAGTAAGGAGCTTGGGTCGCAGAAAAATCGGCCTCGGTGGCGTGGCAGAAAAGGCAGCATCGGTGGCGGGACGCAAAAATCCTGATTGGTGGTCGATAGGGTCGTGACATCACAGCCACATGACCTCGCACAGGAATTTCAAATGACCCACATTGCTCCCGTGAAACATGACGTCACGCGTGGAATGAAAGTGATTAAAAAACATGACGTGTAATGTGAATTAAAAGTCGCCGCATGTCTCTAATGATTTCACTTTATAATGTAATTCATTTGCACTAAAGAAAAATTTGAAGAACTTTGTGCGGGATTCGAACCCACGATTCTTTGGTTGCGAGCCAGACACGCTACTGAGTAGGCCATGCCCATCTCTAGTTGCTTACTGGCAGGAAGAGCATGAGAAGCGAATGAGAAGGCGATGTGAACGGGGCCCATTAACATTATCACGTTTCACTCTTAAAGGCGAAGCTTAAAGAGCCCCTAAAAGAAGAAAAATATTTCTTTTAAACAGTCTGGTTGGGTCACGCATGTCAAAAAATTAATGCTACGCAAAAAAAGAAAAGAAATTTTAGAACAATTTTGATGGCGCGAGATTTATTTTGAATTTTGCGCGCTACGTTCACGACGTCACGGAATGGTCATACACTCTTTCCACCTCAACGAGAGGGTCATACGCTTGCGCCACCTCAGTGTGATGGCCAAGCCAATCCACCTCTCCTCCACACGCCCAAAATGCCGAGAGAGAAAACAAGTCGCGTCTCGCGCCGTCAATATTGCTAAAGTTGAAGCCTGGGTGAGTTGGTATGACATACTTGAAAGGTTAAAACAGCGCAAAAAACGACGGACAGGGTAAAGAAGGACACAAACAGAGCTCTGTCTGTGTCTTTCTTTACACTGTCCGTCGTTTTTTGCGCTGTTTTAACCTTTTAAGCCGTCAATATTGCTCTACAAATTTTTTCTTTTTTCGCGTAAAAAAATTTGACACGCGTGTTCCAACCAGATTGTTTAAAAAAAAACTTTTTTTTTTCTTTTCAGAGGCTCTTTAATTGTTTTCCAAGTTTTTAACTCGATTAATTGCCATCCTTTAATCGATCAAATAATCGATTAATCGGTTTCGTTAATTCCCATGCATAATTTTTTACAAAGTCAAAATTATATAATTTTTTGTCTTTGGTAAATACGGGATGAGCGGCGCAATGTACAGTCTCGGATTTTAAATCAACCTTGATGTGTAGTTGAGAACAGCCAAGAGACACTCACACTCACAAAATATTACTTCAGCCACAAAGGCAAAGAGGTTTGTTGACATGCTCCAGCAATGACAAACTTGTTTGATTGTTCACAATAGTCTCTGCTGCACTAAACGGACATTTGCACGGCGTTAAAGTGGCCGGGACACGTATAACCTTCTCCACTTGTTTGAAGTTACAAGTCTCACCCTACAGTTTTCTTTAGGTCAAAATTTCACCTAAAGGTTGCCTTCATACAGGTTTACTCATCCACATCTCTGTGTTTAAAGCATTTTATTCTTATTTTTTTTTTTGTCGAGATTTAATAAATTATTTGGTTAAAAAAAGTGATTGCAATTAAAGCATTAATTGATTAATCAGTAGGTTAATCTATCATTTGCCCAGCCCTAATTAGGATCTCAAAATTCAGAGTTCTTTGGATAAATTTGAATTAAAAGAAAATTTACCAGCGAGTGTTTTTTTATTTTTTATTTTTTGGAATTTATTTGAAAACACGGAACTCTACCTAGGCTGCATTCTAACGACAGATGTTTGTTGGGGCAATGTAATGGGGAAAGTATTGGCATCCAGCAGTTATTGTTGGTAGCCCTTGCCTTGTTTAAAGTGCAGGGGATCGCTGTCTTTTTTTAACCAGCACTTTCTCTGCAGGAATTGGACCCGCAGCTGATGGATCGGTGCTGTGGCTTTGCCGCCCATCTGGCAACACTGGCCGTGGAAGACCGCACCCGCTCCTGCGAGGTGCTGGCAAACCTGGAGAAGCTCAGGTAGGAACCAGACATTCATAAAGCATGTTGAGTATCTGTGTAAACAACTCCTGTCCTCTCCGCAACAGGGCCCTATCCACCAGCGTGGAGCTGGCTGCCAAGGGCCCACTGCCCCCTCAAACATTCCTCGACCACTGGAAGGTGGGTTTGGTTCTCAACCAGAGCTTAATCTGTTGTGCTGCTAAGTTGTGTCATGGCCTTGTATCTATCCTTGCCAGTTTTCGTGCAGGCATATAAGTTGCTGGTACAGAGACCACCATTGGACCACAATTCATGTTTTCAGTTTATGTTACTATTACCTACCTGGTGCCGCTCTTTTGGGTACAACGGTGCATCTCCTGGAGATTATAATCATTAAAATAAGAGCACTGACTTGACACAAAAGAAAAAAAATGACCGCATCTCCATGTGGTGAATGATGTTTATTGGGGCGAAGCTCTGGTGGTGCGAGCTCTCAATTCCGGGTCCGCTTGGCGTTTTTGACGCTTTGCAGCAGCTTCTTGTGCCCTGGTCTCCGGAGCAGCTTGCTGTCTGCGTAGACGCTGAGCCGCAGCATGCCGAGCTTTTAGTTCGTTTTCATCCATGTCAGAAAGAGAATCTGTGGTATGGAACGTGGTTATATATGCATTTGAGCACTTGACCGCAGCGCCCTCTCGTCTGTAAACGTTGAGCCAATGCATGCAAAGTTTAACGCAATTATATACGCATTTGACCCCAGCTACATACAGGTTTACTCCCCTACATACAGGTTTGTATAGACGTTGAGCGGCTACTTGCAACGTTTCATCCATGACATCCCCAGCTCTTGAGTTACTACCACATCTCAGAGCCCCCTACTCGTCCCGCAGTCGCGGCTGATTAATTAAGGCGATGGACTAGAAATCCATTGGGGTCTCCCCGCACAGGTGTGAATCCTGTCGACTGCGCAAACATTTTTCTTTTTTTAAGAAGACAGATGGGATGGCAATCGATGTCAGCACGAACGCCGTACAAGGCTAAACCCTAAGGAGCTTTGCCCCTAAAAACAATTTCATTAGTCCTTTTGCCTCCCATACAGGAGGCATCTTCAATAGTTACAAATCAAGGCTAGAAGTTGTCAGGTTTTGGTACCCCATGGACAACGAAGCACCCTATGCTGGAGTAACATCAAAACTGGCTGCGGTCGTTTTTATGCAAGGCAGTGAGGTGCATCCAAAGGTTGATGACAAGTTGGGAACTGTCTGCAGGGAAAGGTGGCGGCAACACTGTCTCAAGCAGCCGTGCAGTTGGACCAGGTGTTGGTGCTGCTGCGTGCCTGGCCACGGGACGAGGCTGCCCCTGTCCAGGCGACGGAACTCGCTGTCGGACGTCTCCAGGCACACCTGGCACCCCTGGAGCAGTGCGCCCGGCTGCTGGCATTGCCGGCCACCCAAGGTGAGCACGACATCAGAACTCTGAGACACAATACTGCCAGGCAGACTACTAGTAAAAAAATGTCTACATCACCACATAGCCATAATGTTCTGGGAACAGGTTTCAACCAACAGCAGCGCAATCTACGTCCGCACAAAATAGCGTCGCTGCATCAGATGGAGCTGATATTTTTGTTCAGAAACTTGTTCTGTCAGCCTGTAAAATGGGGCCTACATAATTTCATTTAGTTTGAACATGCTTTAATAGGTTCTATTACTGTGTAAAGCATGATGAAGGTGCTTGCACCGACATGAAAATTTATTTAAATCTCCCTCTCTTCATAACATCTGAGCAGGAACTGGCGCTTCAAAAGCAAATTCACACAAAGAGAACAGCAGACTGAACTAAGACTGAACTGAGAATGACAAAACCAGAGATGAGACGCTCACTTGAGTTCAGTACAGTCGCATCTCGCTAATATGGACGCCTCTGTTCCCCCAAATAATTGTCCATAATATTGAGACAAAGAAAACCTGTATTTACCCGGTTCGTCCATGAACATTTTGTCTATGTCTGTAGTGGGGTATCCGGAGTCTATATTGGGAGGTTTAAAATAGCGTGCTCAAAAGTTTTGCATATGCAAATAACAGCATCGTCGCAACTGCACATGCACTGCTCTATTTCTCGAAAACTGCGTGCATACACAAACAGTCTGCATTCCTCCAAGGAGGATTCGTGATGCGCTAGTTGGCTAAAGCCAACACGAGCAGAGTTAGAAAATGGCAGCTCCCAGGATCGTGGCTTTGGCGGCCGTCGTGAAAGCTTTGTCGGTGGAATCATCGCAACTGTGATTTTCGATGTGGGACGATACTACACTCCTACGAGAGGTGCATGTCACAAACGGTCTGGCAGACCCAAGAAGGTGGGCAACGATCGCAAAATACAGTGGGACCAAAAACTTTTTTTTTTTTTTTAGAGGTTGCAGCATTTCGTGCGTGAAATAAGAATTTTTACTGTGTCTTGGTAGCATTGCAAACGTGAAATGCTTGGGTTTTGCATCGTGGCGGAGAAACGCTATTCTAAAACTCTTGCATGATGTGTGCTAACGCAAAAGCAAAATTTAGCACTAACGTGCACTAAAATTGTGTACAGTAAAACCTCGTTAGTTCGAAGTTGGTCGGACGGTGAAAAATATGCGAATTAAGCGGATTTCGGAATTATCCAAGAACGAAAGAAAACGACTAAAATTGTGCGCAAAGCCTTGAATCTTGAAGGAAACATTTTATTCAAAACGAGTTGCCAAAACGAGAGAACTTCAACCGAAGTAGTCGGCGATGTGGGACTGCCGCGTTGTGTAATTAGTGGCGCCGACAGTCATATTTTCGAGAAGGCTAACTAGGCGCAACATTTCAGGATCACTGCCGTCACATTGCACAAAGCTGCAGATGACATTCAGCGACTGTCTAACTTCCCCCAGAGCGGGGGCTTGAGACGCCTTCTCATTGTCATCAATCTCTGCCGTCGTACTCGGTGATTTCGCTCTCAAGGTCTGCGTACCAAGTTTACTCATTCTCTTTCATGGTTTAAGTAGTGTGTGAACATCATGCCAACCAACTCACCGTCACTGTCCTTAATGCGGCAGCAAAGCTCCTCTCCCTCATCGTCAATCCCAGGGACAAAACTGGCACTAGCACTGGCGGCACCCTCGTGCTCCACGGCCGGTCGCACATAGTCGATTTGGCGAATGATGAGACACACATGCAACGGCAACCCACTTCGCTGTCACTCGGTCAATTGCACGAAGGCGAGCCGTGTGAAAGCGGCGGGAGCAGGCAGCCAAGGCGATGAGCGAAGCGACGGGGACAGTGAAAAATTTCCGTCGCTTGTCACTGACTGTCGTCGCCGTCGCTCGTCTCGTCGCTCGCTAAATCGCTTACATACGGTTCAATAACGGCCCGAACCACAGCGGTGCAGCACCAAAAAACAAAGGGACTTTTAAGCGCATGGACCAGCAAACAGCACACAGATCAGCGAAGACGCGCGTCATCTTTGGTTTTGCTGCCGAATCTAGATGCCAACTGGTGCCGCCTAGCAACTAAAAATTTAACATGGAAGACCAAATCGGTAAATTAACCGGGTAGGCACGTGCGGAGCGCTCCTGTTGTTCGGTCATATTTTATGAGAAGTTACGGGACCGTGGAAATATTGCGAATTATCCGGGATCCCAAATAAACTGAGATCGAATTATCGAGGATCTGCTGTACATTACTGTAAAATTGCCTATTAACGACGCGTGACTGTACAGTCACTGACAAGCTGAGAACGCCAGGGAGGAACTTAAGTAGTCCCGCTTCCCGCACAATGCTTGAACAAATCGTGCATCTCTAACGCGCGCACGCAATCAAAACGCGCAATCAAAGACACACCCTGCCGTTCTCATTTTGTCGATGACTGTAGCCAGGGTTCCGAACCGAGCTGAATGTCCAACGCAGGACTACTGGGACGCCCCGAGCCAGACCTCTTAGAAGGCGCAGTGCAGCAACTGGCTGCATTGAGCCGAGAGGCGCACCAGTCGAGCGGCACCCTGTGTCCGCCCCTTGCGAGACACCTCTGGGCACTTGCCGAGCCCCTGGATGTCCTGGCCGAGGACTGGGCTCAGGCGCGGGCCCCGAGCCCCGACGGCGAGGCCCCGCCCTCGGACGCGCTGGCGAGGCGACTTCTCGTGGCGGTGCAGCGGCTGCACGGGCACCTGGGTGGCACTCCGGGAGACCCCGCTTCGGGGCCCCACCTGACCCTGCTGCGGGACAACCTGCAGGAGGCCTTCGTACGGATGGACTTGGAGCAGACGTGCAAGCTAACGGGGCGCCTGGTGCGGCACCTGCGTCGGCACGGCGTGGACGAAAATGCCAGCCAAGCCTGGTTTGTATTGTCTCTTTTTTTTTGGGGGGAGGGGGGGTCTTGCTTGTGCGGGCGAAAGTGAAATGTTTAAAATATTCGTAGTAATTCAAGATTGTGTTGTCCTCGCTCATTGCTTCTCTGGAGAAATGCTCCAAGTCACATTGGAAAGCTCTTTAATCCTCGAGCCTGATGTTCGGCAGCATACCGCGCCATGGCTTAACTATCGCATTCCCCTGTCGCACACTCGTGTCCCACGCCTTGCACCGCAATCGTTCCTTGCACGCCCGTCGCATCGTCGCCCAAGTTATCTATGTGTCAAAATCTCCACAAAATAAATACTAGGTAGTACTATAATATTCTCTATGAAACTGACACTGACTTTGTGGGTAAGGGCGTGGCCATAACTCAGAATGCACATTGCTTTTGTCGGTGGCATCTGGTTCCCATCATAAAGGGTCTCCGTTTAGATGTTGGCTGTATGTTTCCTCATGGCAAATTCAGAGTTTAGAAAGAGTGCAGACGAAATACACACTGATGGCTTTACTTCTACCAAACTTTGTTAAAACAGACACAGAAAAGAGGAGGGCATTGTTTTCTGGAGGATAGAGCTAGCTGTCTAAGATATGTCATTTTTTTTTCCTCGATTGCACATTAAAATATTATCCTCGCGTGGTCGTTCGTTGAGGCATGCCAAACATTCTTTCTTGATTCGGCACGTAACCACCCGGTCACTTCGCTCGGCTGTTTAGACCCAGAAGGAAATCAGAACCGTCACCGCATATTTCTGGCATCTGGCTTACTTACGCAGCAATCTGTGACCCTCGTTTTGCTCCGGCGGTGTGGCGTCTTTTCTAAATATATGCTTGTCGCTTTTTTTTTTTTTTTTTTTGCGTGTTTTGTGGTTTTCTGAAAGACTGGTATTTCTTGCAGCGATGCCGTCGTTCCGCTGCTGCGGCAGTACCTGGGTGCATGCCGCTACCTGGCATCCCTGCAGCTGGCCGCCCATCGCTCTGGGCTCAAGCTGCTCCACATTCTGGCCTCCCTGTTCTCCACCCTGGCCAAGAAGGCAAGTGGCGGCGTGGTCTGGGGCAGACAGGATGCCCCAACTGCTCTTTCAAAACTTTGACACCCAGCCTTCTCTAAATCCAGTAGTTCAGATTGTGGTTGTTGTCAATTCAAATCCACCATATGCAAAGTTTGTTCTTTGAATCAGATATTCCAGAGTGCCACTATTTACTAAAAGCTTCTTTGAGCCATGAAAGCACTTGTGGCAAGAGATGAGAGCCTCATATAGGCATGCACTCTTCAAGTTTGGGGCCCCCAGTGTCTCACGCTTGCTTAGGGTTGGTGACATGGGTCAAGTTCAACAAACTGCACATTTGCGCGCGCCAACAAAGGTTGTTTCAAAGCTATAAGCCTTCTTTGGCAACACTTGTGCATCCACCCTTTGGCAAGAAATTACCATTTAGCTTTTTAAAATTTTCAACCTTCTAATTCAACTTGTTGATTTGCTATTTCAGAAAACGAGACCCAAGGTTAAAAGAGTGATTTCGTCAATAGAGCATGGATCAAGGATAAATGGGCAGGATGATAATGTAAAAATATTTCTCCCAATAAAGAGTGGTATGGCACAGTGGTGGAAAAAAAAACTCACCATCTGGTTTATGCTGCCTTTCATTTCCTACAATAATAACAGGTTTATTTAAAAATGTAATAGAGGTATGTTTCGGGCTTACAAAAGCACTTTTGTGCTTGTGGGCAGGACCCAGCATCCAACAAAAATAACCACAATGCATAAAAAAAAATTATAACAAAATAAAAGGTAAATTTATGCAGTATTTGTGCGGCACAACACTGTTCAACTATCTAAATTCAAGCACCATATTTTTAATTGACTTTTCACCGGTCTTAGCGAGTCCAAATTAAAAAGCCCTTCTGGCAATTTATCACAACAATGAGGCACATAAAATGACTTAACCCGCTTTTCCTAATTTGTAAACTACGGAAAGCGGGTTGGGTGCTGGGTAGAGAAGTGACTTAGGTCAAATGTGGCGCATTTGATTTGCGAATTTATTTTAGAAAATTGGCGTAATGGAAACATGGTGTTGTCCACCCCTCTCCCGTAGGGCCTGTGCCTCCCCGAGGAGTGGCGGGAGGAGCTTGAGCGGGAGGGGGCGCCCGAGCTGCAGGAGCTGGAGGACGGGGGTCTGGGGGAGGGCGAGGGAGCCAAGGATGTCAGCGACCGCATAGAGTCCCAGGACCAGCTGGAGGGAACCCGCAGCGAGCAGAAGGAAGAGCCCGAAGAGGAACAGAGGGCTCCCAAGGTGGGCGTTCCTCGTGTGCTTTAGATCAAAGCATCGGGGAAAACAGTTTTTTGTGTGACCGTTGCGCAGCATCTGAAAGTGAAGGCATTCATAACATTCTTGTGATGCTCGAGAAGTATGGAACGAGCAGGGAGAGACTCTCGAGGCTGCCTCGAGCATTTGCGCTCGAGTGCGACCGGCTGCACTATGCCTCCTCGCGTTTCATTACGACGTCGACCTCGGTTGCCGTAGCAACCCTCTCGTCTTAAGCGGTTGCGGGCAGTCATAACAGTCGGTCGTGCTCGGGCGCGAATGTTCGAACCAGGCTTCGGCCATTCCGCCACAAGTCCGCCGGCTTTGACGTCAGATGCGTGTCGCAAGTGCCCGTGTAACCGAGCCATCGACAAAAATGGGTATCCCTTGTGGGGGCAGTGCGGAAGTCATGTCTTGTGCCTTTTGCTTATTTGAAAATTTTTCTTTGCGTGGTGCCAGGCAGATGGGCACATTTCCTTTCAACATTTGAGCTACATTGCCCGCCGTACCCAAGATGGGAACCTTAAATCTCGTTTCTGTCGTGTATGCACTACTCTTGCCCTAAGCAACCCGGTTCAGAGCACCTGCCAAGGAAGACGAGTGGTTCTTTCGTAGGACGAAGAGCACGGCGTGGAGATGACCGAGGACTTCGAAGCCCCTGCCCAGGACCCCGAAGAGGGAGAGGGGGAAGAGGGGGACGAGAGTGAGGAGGAAGACAAGGATGAGCTGGATGACCAGATGGGCGACGTCCAGGGAGACGACCAGTTGGACCAGGAGGTGGGCCGGTCTTTGCATCGGTTTAGCTGTTATCTGTCGCCACCGATAGATATTGTTCTTAAAGCCTAGACCACTCTGCTGTAGGGAGGTACCTTACAGTTAGAGGGGAGCCTTTTGACAGAGAGCAAGCATGAAATTTTTTTGGGCCGTCTTGGTTGCAATTAGGAAAGCCGGATTCACAAGTGAATCCGGCGACCACACAGCTTTCACATAGCTTTTGCACATTTGTTGCAAATGGTCTAGTCTGCACAAGTATGCAAGTGCAAGCAAAGAAAAAACTACAAGCACGAAGGTGTTTTTTGGAACGGTGCCTGCTCTGCACAAGTGGGTGTGCATGGCAGCTGTAATCGAAGCATGGGGTTAGTGCATGTGCCTTTGGCTTAGGATGAAACAGTGTATGGTAGTGGGGGATCCAGAACTTTAGCTCTTCTCTCAGATGGCACAACCACGTTACTCATGAAGAACATTCCAGAAGCTGCCAAATCTATGTGAGCGTAGTATGAAATGCACAGAAGGTCTACATTTTGTTTTGTTGTCGTGCTAGTTTATGATATGCTGGTACCTTGTACCAGCATATCATACCTGCAAGTCTTACCTGCAAGTCACACCGCAGGGCGACCGCTTGATTAAGGCCATCAATAAACATATTTCTCCCCCCACTCACAACCAGAACTCCCTGCCCCAGGGACAGAATAGCAAAGCAGCTGATGAAACTGACTCTAAGCATTTGTTCAGTCAGAAGTGTGTTCCATTTGTATCGAACTGCAGATGGAGTGTGCAAAATCTGATCAAATGTTCTTCTTCAATGGCAGCTGTGGGATAAAGAAGAGCAAGAGGACAGCAAGGAGGAAGAGGAGGAGGAGGAGGTGGCAGCAGAAGGGGAGCCCTGTGCGGAGGAGCCGCAGCTGGGCGCTCGTGACGAAGATGCGGCTCCGCAGAGAGAGGAGCCTGCAGGGGCACCCCCAGAGGATGAGAAGGCCCCCGATGATGGTCCCGAAGTGGCACCAGAGGGCCCTCCGGACGACTCCACGATCGGGGAACCTCCAGATCCACAGGTGACAGTCGTGTAGGGGACAGTCCATAGCAGGATTTAGGTCGGAGGGTGTTAGTAGTCCCAGTGTTCTGATTACTTTTGCAGACCACAAAATAAAGGTCCCCTTGTGTAAAGGTATGTAATGATGCAAGCAAGGCAAAAAAAAAAAAAATGTTGATTGTCGAAAAGGGAGTGGCGGTGAGCGTAAGTGGCTATAACACACAGTTTTTATGTTTCATATAAGATCTTTTCTCCGAATGCAATGTGCTGAGACAAAAACGTCAATGCCCTCTTCGACTTTTTAACTGTTAAAGACCTACCTGGTCCCGTCAGTGTGCACTTGGAAGGTTGCTAGTTTGAGGTTAGCTTCAGCAGCACTGCTGTTATGCGAGGACACTGACAGCAAGACAGTCCTCCAGTGCCACCAGCTCACGCTTCTGCCTTGCAATAATAACTGAACTGAACACAAGCAAACAAGGCTGTTTCTTATGTAGAATAGGCAATCCTCAGAAATGCCGGGCGAAATAAAAAAGGAAATGCTGCCTGGAAGTTTCCTCGCAGTAAGTCACATGTTAACCCTCTTGTATCCTCCGTGTTTGCAGGAGCCAGAGCCCTTGAACCTCCCGGAAGACATGCAGTTGGGCTCAGATGCCGAGGACGCTGAAGGAGAGGAGCCTCAAGAGGCCCCTCCTTCAGAGGCAGTGGAGGAAGCGAAGGAGGAAGGGGAAGACCAGGTCACCGAAGACAAGATGGAGCAGGGAGAAGAAGAGGGGGAGGGCACACAGGAGGGTGCTCCGCCTCCAATAGACATGCAGAACCTGGGTGAGATCTTGCATTCTTAGAGCTGTTACATTTTGCCTTAGCCTCTTTCGGGCTAAACCGTGACACACTTCTTTGGTTGACTAAAGTGGTCCTCTCGAGGGCAAATGGGAACAGCAAATAACAGGAGCCCGACGTTGCAGATGGCGCAGTCCCCGAGGCCGAAGACGGAGGCACGGACGGAGCTGGTGCGAGTCACGGCACCACTTTGCACGGAGCCTCGACGGAGGAGCACGGTCCTCAGGAAAAGGAGAGCGAACAAGGTGGGCAGGCACAGAGTTCAGTGTGGACTAGTACATTTTGTGTACTCACATTTTACTACCAAGTGCATATTGGGAATATGTTCAGAGCATGACACAGTCAGCATGAGCACTAGATTGTCGTTTTCTGCTTGTCTTCTTGCACAGCTGAGGTTATCACCAGGACTGTTGGTGAAATGGTTTGTAGTTATGTTGGACCAACTTAGGCAGGACAGTTTGTAAATGCAAAAAGGTGCCCCTGTGTTGCACAGTGTACTTATGCTTCAAATGGAGCATGAACGCGTTTATCGCAGGTGGCTTTGATGCCGGCAGAGGGCAAGTACGGCAGCGGTACCCTTGCCCCTTTGCCAGTAGTAGTCGCGGTGGGGCTGTAGCACATCCAACCAATCGCGATTGCACCGGGGGTCATGTGATTGCACTCCTCGCTACCTGCTCTTTCTCGCCTTTGGTCACGCGTTCTCTCGGCGCTCTAACTCTGAAGGCCCATTCACACACTTGGATTTCCTTCGGACCTTGTGCCTTGAAACCTTTTTAAAATCTTTTGGGATGAGAGAACACACTGTCACACTGGTGCCATCTATGAGGCGACACTGGAACTTCCTTTCACTATAATGAAGGTTTTGCAGTATTTGCGAGATCAGATGTGCTTGCTATCTATGAGAAATGGCTATACTTGCGACTCCTAAGGAGGCGCAAGTGTGTGAACAGACCTTAATCCTTTGCACACTAGAACACAGCGGCTGAAGCCGGAGCAAGCAGCGGCTGCTCGACGGCATAAACGCGCCCGTGAGAGAGAACGTTGTCGATGTCTGGGCGCCGACGGTGTCGCCCCGAGTGTTGGGATGGAACGCATTCAATATCGAAATCGTGCTGTGCATGAATACGAAGCGGCACATAGAGGAGAATGTTACCGAGCAAAGAACAGACACGCTGGTGCGACAGAGCAGTTTGTGCAGCGTGTCCGTGAGGATGTGTTTGGTGCTAACTTTTCTGCGTGGTTTACGTGAGACACGGAACCATGCAATGTCGCCGGAATTTCCTGTCAGTCACGACGCAATATCATTCAAATGTCGCACCAGCCGACGTTATCCATTCGTATCACGTTGCGTGGTCGTCCGCACACTTTTTTTAAGGTGAAAGCCTTACTTGTTCCATTATGCGAGAAAGCGGCAGCGTTGTGCCCGAAAGATTGTCACACCAATACGTCATCAAGCACACGCTTCAGAAATAAAACGCAAAGAAAAGCACACCAACACACATGCTTCGTCATGGAAGCCTGCGGGGGTGCTCAAGGTCAAAGCGGACGCGCCTCACAAATCAAACGCAAAGAAAAGCACAGCAACGTGGATACTTCGTCGCGGAAGCCATCGTGAAGCCGGTGGGGCTCGCCGTGCCTGTACAGTGGAAGAGCATGATGTCACTGCCGGAGTGCCATGTGCAAAGAGAAGACGTGGTGCGCTGCCTGTAGGAATACGCTGCATCTAGAAGTGCTTTTGCATTCCTCCACGTAAGCAGTTTCAAATTCTCTGCCGAATTTTTACAGCGAAGCTGTTATGCACTAGGATCTGGGAAAAAATGTGTCCGCGGATGTCGACAGAAAACTTCCTATTGGTCGTGGCAAGTATGAATAAATAAAACTAAAAAAGGGGGCAACCAGCATGAGTCAGCCTTCCTTGGCATTATTAGATAGTGAGGTTCTGATCCCTTGTTACATCTCTAGGCATCGTCTCCGAGGTCGTCCTAGAAGTCGTCCTTGAGGTCATCCGAGAGGTTGTCCTCTAGGCGTCGTCCTAGAAGTCGTCCTTGAGGTCGTCATGGACGTTGTCCTCGAGGCCGTCCTAGAAGTCGTCCGAGAGGTCGTCATAGGCGTCGCCCTCGAGGCCGTCCTAGAGGTCGTCCTTGAGGTCGTCCTAGAAGTCATTCTTGAGGTCATCCAACAGATTGTCCAAGGCGTCAACCTTCAGGTCGTCCTAGATGTCCGCTAGGCGTCGTCCTAGAAGTCGTCTTTGAGGTCGTCGTAGACGTCATCCGTCGTCCTAGAAGTCGTCTTTGAGGTCGTCGTAGACGTCATCATCGAGGTCATCTTAAAAGTCCTCCTTGAGGTCGTCCTGGACGTCACAAAAATAACAGCTTTGCTGGTCCTCCATCTTCACGTAAGGTGGAAGGGCTCTAAAATTTTTTTTTACTTGCTTTCTACGATGCACCATAGCTAACTTCCTAGTGCATTTTTTCAGGTTTGTTCGGTGATCAATAGTCGAAATTGTTGCATCTTGCTTGTAAAACTAAGGCCGAATTGTGTGACCTTTTCTTCTTTTTTTCTTTCGCTAAGTAGCGCCATCTCTTTGGCATTTGGCAGGAACATGGAGATGCCAAGAAAGATTACTAAAAACTTTACTTTGAAGATGCATTGCCCCTGCTATAGATTGCTTGAAGCACTTGCACCCTGTACAAATAATTTTACTGTATTTGGAGCACAAAACTTACCAGTAACCATGTCCTTATTTCAAGTGCTTCTTACATACTTATATATACAGGGTATTCCCCCTTACATACCTATATACAGTGTCCTCAGAAACATCCAATTCAGTAGTTTTTATCAAAAAAACCTTAACATCTTTTTTTTTTTTTTATATAGGCTTTGAAAGAAGTTTGCAAAAGGTTTTTTGATAAAAACCACTGAATTGGATGTTTCTGAGGTCGCTCTACAACTTTGTCATTGGAAGTTTCGCTCTAAATTGAATATTTCATAAATTCATTAATTAATCTGAATTAATCTAATTGGGCAGAATATAAAAAATAGCCTGACTTGCTCCAAACAATGAACAAACTTATTTCCTTGGTTTCGTTTTCCTAAAATGTACCAAAATATTTTTAAACCTGGGCTCAAGTTACGTGGCACAGCCTGTATATTATACTACTACTTGACCCAACTGTGCCGGGGTTCCACACAAACTTTAAACCCACAAAGGGGCCAGACATAATGGGGAAAGGGCACCCGAGGGTGTAGCCTAAACTGTGTAAACAAGATGCTTCTGACGACCGGAAAGAGGGGCGGACTTGGGGAAAAGGGCGCGGGAGAGCGTAGCTTCCGCTGCGTTAACGAGCTGCTTCTGGCCGCCAGAAAGAGGGGCGGACTGACGTCACGTGCAGGCTATGTACAGTGTGAGGACTAATTCGCACCACCCCCAGTTTCACCATATCTTTGTTTCACTTCTCAACAGCTGTGAAATAGAAATATAACAAACAGAATTAAACAGTGTAATTCTGGAAAAATCGTATAAAGTGGAATGTTTCGAGGCTGTGCGGAATTTCGCATAAGCTTTGTTTGACTTTCCATGATTTCAAAGTGGTTGTGAAAATTCTGCCTGGTTCCTTTGAACCTCACCTTAAGAGTGTTCCGTTTTGGTTTTTATGTTGTCTGAACACCTCGTTAACCCCTGTCTAGAGGCAGGGAGTCAGGAAATGTTGTGTGCACCGACTTTTTCTTTTGCACACCTCAGAGGACTTCATTTCTGACCCACAGGAGGAGGACCCGTCGGAGGTTGCGCCGAAGTCGGCACAGGACAGTCCGATGCCGACGCCAACGACCCTGGCACATCCCTGAAGACGTCTCACGAACGAAGCCTGGCAAACAAGGAGGAGAACAAAGCCGGCAAGAGGCTCCACACCGTCGACTCGAGAAGAGCTCCGAAAGAAGCCTCGGAGACATTCCGACACGTGGGAGATGACGAAGCGCACGATGAAGTGGCCCTAGACACGGCCACGCTCGACCAGACCCAGGGTGGCATTGAACGTTTGGAAGAAGAACAGCTACCCGAGACGCTACGCCCAGAGAGCCCGGAAGAAGAGACGCCAGAGCCTCCACAGGAGAGCGCGCAGCGGGAGAGAGCGTCAGGACACCAGCAGCCGAGCGCCGGCGAAGACCCGGTCCCGAGGGAAGGGCCCGTGGCGGAGACGGCACACGTCGAGAGGGGCCCCGAGGCCAGCTTCCACACGAGGATGGATGTCCTTGAGGGAGAGGAAGAAGAGAGAGCGAGAGCCCCCGAGCCGGGGCAGGAACTCTGCTCGGCAGAAAGTCCCGCGTGGGCGGCCTGGGAGGAGGCGGAACGCGCGGTGGCACCCCTTGTCACGGAGCTGTGCGAGCAGTTACGACTGGTGCTCGAACCCACAAGGGCTTCGAGGCTGCGAGGCGACTTCCGATCCGGAAAGCGACTTAGTATGCGGCGGGTCATCGCATACCTGGCGAGTCAGCTGCGCAGGGACAAGATGTGGCTGCGGAGAGTGCAGCCCTCACAGCGCCAGTACAGGGTGCTGCTGGCGGTGGACGACTCCCTGAGCATGGGCCCCAGCGGTCCCCTCGCCCTCCAGTCCCTGGCACTGCTGGCACAGGCACTGAGCCTGCTGGAAGCCGGGGAGCTGGCGGTCGCGAGCTTCGGGGAGAGCGTCCGTCTGCTACACCCGCTGGGGCGCCCGTGGACGAGGGAGGCCGGGGCCAACGTGGCAGGCGCGCTGGGATTCGACCAGGGACGCACACGGGTGGCACCGCTGCTGCGAGCCGCGGAGGCTCTGCTGCCCACAGGTCCCGACGCCGCCCGCCTGGTGCTGCTGGTCTCAGACGGCCGGGGGATCTGCAGCGAGGGGGACGTGGCAGCCGCCGTGCGGGACGCCCACTCCCAGGGGCTGCTCATGGTGTTCCTGGTGCTCGACTGCCTCGGGGGCAAGGTCGGTAGAGCTGCTGTTTTTGACGCGGCCAAAAACTCTGCGCGTGCACTCTTAGCTGCTCGACATTTTGTATTCCCACTCGACTAGCATTTGTTCCTTCGTTTGTCGCAGTTCTAAAGGTTTCCAAAGAGCAGTTGCTTAATATTTGAGGGCGAGTTTGCAGATTGATTTCTGCTTTTTGCATCCACTTTAGTCACAGCTGCACGTGTGATTACTCAGGTCTTAGCATCTCCTTAAAAAGACAAAGGGAAGAAATTAAAAAAAAAAAAGGTTGGACGTTTACAATTCTTTGTAATGCCGAATTGGAGCATAGCTCTTGAGGAGGAGGAGGAGGGGAGGGTATGCTCCTCCTCTCCTGCTCCCCTACCTTTTAGCGGGAAATTTTCGCTAAATTTCCCGCTAAATTTAGTGGAAAAAATTACCCTCTAAATGAATCAGGGAAATTTTTCTGCTACATTTACCAAGGAAATTTTTTCCGCTATATTTACCAAGGAAATTTTTCAGCTAGATTTAGGTGGAAAATTTTTCCACTAAATTTGGCAGGAAATTCTTTTTGCGAAATTTAGCGGGGAAATATTCCCGCTAAATTTAGGCGCCGTGCGACGTCACTCGTGACGTCATTACGGGAAACGTCTCATAATGCAACACGCAATTACGCCGACGGCGATGCCGCTTAAGCCGGAAACGGGTGCCTAAGAGCTGCGCTCTAAAATGTGTAGTGTAGCGTCCAGGCACGTATCCAGGGGAAGGGGGGGGGGGGGGCACCTATAGAACCTGGGCCTCCCCCCTTGAAATCTTCCATTTTGCTGGAACCTCTTCTCCCCTCCCCCTCATACAGCATTTTCTCATGGGCAGGAACGCCCCCCGAATCAAGGCCCTGGCTATGTGCCTGGTTGCATCACTGTTGCCTTGTACGATACAATTTGAGTTATTTATTCATTTCTGTGTGCATGCTGTCTAAGTAACTTGGCTCACACTTAGGGTGTTTGCAAGGAAGAAACTTTCTCTGCAGGACTCCATCTTGGAAGTCCGCAAGCCGGAGTTTGGGCCATCGGGAGAGGTGCGCCTGCGGAGCTACATGGAACACTTCCCTTTTCCCTTCTACCTTCTCCTTCGGGACTTGGCCTCAATGCCTGCCGTGCTTGGTGAGGCACTTCGCCAGTGGTTGGAGCTAGTGGCGCAGGCGTAGCGGACAACATCCCGTCAAGTGTGTCGTGCCATTCAAAAGAAAAGTCTAATAGGAACACCGTTATTAAATACAACTTTACTCGTCGACTGGCCCGTTTCTCTGCTGAGGCTCTCTGTACGGGAGGCCCAGCCAATCAAACACGTCGCGTTCGCTGGACACCGGCACGGGTTCCCCGGCCACGCCCGTCGAGCCCAGCGGCCGCAGCGCGTACTCGCTCAGCGTGAATCCCTGTTGGAGGGCATGCGCCCGCATGCTCTTGTTGAAGATGTCGCTCCCTGTAAAGTAGAGCAGGCCACAGAAGAAGTGATCTCGCGGCAGGAGGCGCATGTCCAGGCGGCGGTACGGGTGCGAGTCATCCAGCCGACACACGCCAGCAAACTTGGTGCCTCCCAGCGACATGGTGTCAGTGATAACACCGGCCTCGCGCAGCCGCTCCGCTAGGCGGGCGAGCAGCTTGGGCGGCTTCTGGTCGGTGCCTTCTTGAGACCGGTACAATTTGTGGCATACGAGCAGGTCCACGTCGCCGCTGGACGGCAGGCCCCGGCGGTAGCTGCCGCACACGACGGCCTCGTAGTCCTCGTCGAGCGCGCGGCACTCTGCCAGGATGCGCGCTTCGAGCTGGGCCACTTCTTCCCGAGGAATTCGCTTCTCGAAGTCTTCGAGGTGCCGGAGGCCGATTTTCTGGTGCTGCGTCAACGAGGACGGGTCCTTGCGCAGGTCGTCGACGTTGCTGATGCCCCGCTCGAAAAGGCTCCTGGCCGCTGCCGGTCCGATCCCGGACACCCGCGTCAGGTCTTGGATCGCGCTGGTGCTGTCGTCGGCGCGAATTTTCTCCACCTTGGCCACTTTTCCGGTGGCGAGGAACTCGCCGATTTTCTGCGAGATTTTGACGCCGATGCCCGGAAGCTCTTTAGCCGCTTCGGCGCTCTTCACGCGCTCGGGCAGTTTTTCGAGTGTCGCCGCTGCCTTCCGGTAGGCCATGCTCTTGTGGACGTTCCTCGTTACATTTTTTTCGTATTCGGCCAGTTCTTGGAGAAACTCGCAGATGTCCTGATTGGGCTTTCCCGTCTCGCTCCATTTCTTCTTACCCATCGCGGGCAGAGTGTCGATGCACTAGAGGCGGCACTGTACACGGACCGAAGTCCCTGAATCGTTGACTTTGGACTATTGTTTTTCTTTCTATTAATTACTATCGGCTGTCTGCTATCTCCGGTCAACGCCTCCCTTACCTACGGTGTCCGTTTGGCTGGCCAGCTGTTCGGCGGCCATTTTCTGCTCGACTCAACTGTATTTGATGAGGGTTGGTAAGAGTAGAACAGAGTCACTCGAGGTTACGTCATATGAATATATTTTGCAAATTTTATTTCTTTTAATGCTTTATCAGGACCGCCCGTTTATTAATACTACTGTACTAACGCCCTAAAATAATAAATTTTGAAGCTGTGATGTGGACAATGGATGTGCCTGATGCGTGATGGCCGTGATGTAACCGTTGTCGGTCACGAATTTGATGACGAGGACACTCACTACGTCATTGAGACGACAAGGTCATGGCATCGAATAAATGAATGTACTCTGTAATCCACGATGAGTCAAGTTAGAAGCCGAAAGGGGAACAGCGGAGCTGGCGAAATCCAGCGTCGTACAAAGTGAGATTTTCCTATTCATGAGTTCGGCTATCGATTAATTGCTGTTACCGAGCGCTGAAATTTCACCTCGAGCCGTTCCCGCCAGGCAGCGAAGTCAGCCGAATAGTCGAAAAGACAGAAGGAGTGCTCGTCGAGCGGCTCCGTCAACGCCCGTCCCACCATGTTTACCGCGGGTCCCAACTACGGTAAGCTGAAGACCAACCTCCGGCTGGCCATCAACCGCCTCAAGCTGCTCGAGCGCAAGAAGACCGAGCTGGCCCAAAAGGCGCGCAAGGAGATCGCCGAACACCTGGCCAGCGGCAAGCACGAGCGGGCGCGCATCCGCGTCGAGCACATCATCCGTGAGGATTACCTGGTTGAAGCCATGGAACTCGTCGAGGTCTACTGCGACCTCCTGCTGGCGCGTTTCGGCCTGCTGCAGCAGATGAAGACGCTGGACGAAGGCCTCACGGAAGCCGTGTCCAGCCTCATCTGGGTGGCACCCAGGCTGCAAGCGGACGTCGCCGAGCTCAAAGCGGTCGCCGATCAGCTGGCGCTCAAGTATGGCAAGCCGTACGCATCGGCGGCCCGCGACAATGGCCTGTCTACCGTCAGCTCCAAGCTCATGCACAAGTTGAGCGTGCAGGCACCACCCAGGATCCTCGTCGAGCAGTACCTTGTCGAGATCGCCAAGAGCCACGACGTGCCGTACGAACCAGACCAGGAGGTGCTAGCCGAGCAGACAGCCGGCAACCAACCGGAGAGCCCGCCGCTGCTCATTGACCTCGGCGCTGCGGCAAGGCCCCCGGGCTTTGTGGCAGCGCCGTTTCCGCCTTTCATGCCGGGCACCGCGCCCCCCGGGTCCCAGGTGGACCCACCACCCGTGCCCATAGCCCCGCCGTCGGCCATGCCGCCCATGCCTTCGTTCCCGGCCGTGAACCCACACACGGTGGGCTTTGGCGAGGCCGGGCCGCCCGCCTACAACGCGGCCACCATGGGAGGCTTTCCCGAGCTGCCGTCGGTGCCCGCGAGCAGCCTGCCCAAGCCGTCCAGCAAAGAGGAAGAACTCGACTTCGACGACCTGACGCGCAGGTTCGAGGAGCTCAAGAAGAGGAAATAGTCGTCGTTCCTCCTTCAAGCTGGCTGGCCCATGCATTATTATACAAAACACACAACCGCTTCTACCGCTGAATAAAGAGTTTTACCGCGTTATCCAGTCGTTTATTGGGGAGGCCTCAGGAGGCAAGCATGCCGAGCGACTTGCGCACGAGGCGGTCGGCGATCCGGTTGAACTGGGGCCGGTCTTCCCGCCACATCTTGGCCGCGTCCACGTTGGCTCCGCTCTCGTCGTTGGGCTCGGCGAGCATGGACACGACCGAGAGCAGGATCTTCTCAACGCTCTGCACGGGGCTCCAGCGCTCTGCACTCGACTCGTAGCCCATGGGGTCCTCGCCCGGCGCGTGCAGGATAGAGATGCAGACGCGGCCGTCCGCGTAGATGTTTGGGTGGTACATCTCGCAGGTGAACTGCATCTTGGGTGGGCTGAGCGGGTAGTCCGCGGGGAAGGTGAGCTTGGCCGGGAAGACGCCGCCTTCGAAGCAGGTGCCCTCGGGGCCCGTGATCAGTGCCTCCCACTCGAAGAAGTTCTCCTCGCTCACGGGCCCCGCGATGATGCCCTCGGGAGGGTTGAGCGTGAGCTGCTTGTACTCGGCCATGAGCCGCCGCAGAGCGGACCCTGCCATCCTGGCGCCTTGAGACTTGGCGGCAGACCAGGACCGCTGCTCCGCCCTCCTGCGACACTTGCGGTCGTCGGCGGCTGTCGGGCACCCGCTGCGCGGTCCTCCTCACGTGTCCCCGCGCGGGACGCCCCTGACGCGGTCTCGGCCGTGGTTCGGTGCACCCAGCTTGGTCAACTTGGGGTTATCGGTCGGCCAGTCAGGCGACGACGTCCGCCTGCTTGCTTCGCGACGACGACGCACGCACCGCTCCAGAGAACTTCGTCAGGCCTGGTCGGGCCTTGCTTTACGAGTGGAGGTGCGCCGTGCAGTGCGGGGGCAGCACTGATAGCCTTCCCAGCTTTACCTGATTACGTTTTATTTTTCAAGAAATAGAGCTGAGTAAAAGTAAATTAAAAAGTGCTAGTTAAAACTAAAATTAGATAAAAATTAAATCTTATTAACTTGTCCTAAGCATTACTTAATCTAGAGCCAAAAAATATATTTTGTTAGGTGGCGCAAGCCACCGTCTGATTCAAAGGAAACAGTCACCATACATTTATCCACCGTTTATTACTTAGGGTTAGCTCCGGTTTCGGTTTCGTGCGGTTTTGATTGCGGTTGGCTTTTATTGTTTGTTTATTTATTTACGGGTAAACTCTAAAACCGCAAGTTATTCACCCCCCCCCCCCCTTTTTTTTTTTCTTATTTTACATTGCACTTCGCTTTGCTCCTGATCAAAATGATAAAAGAAACTACACCGACTTGACAAAATCTAAATAACAATTTAATCAGATGTTTCGTCTCCCGTACGGACGACGTCGTTAGTGAAGCCCAGAGGCAGCAATGAGAGAAACGCCAACCAGAATTATACCGCATACACTTCGGGAAAGAAACCGCGGTTGGAGTTAACAAGCGAATGAATCACTCAGGATGCACCATGTTTTGGTGCACGGACGTTTCGGTGTACGGACTTTTCGGTGCACCGCCAATCAAAATGAAAAAAAAAAAAAAGAATTAAACGTAATGAGCATTATTTTAGCTAGAAATTCATTGTTTCGCACATTATAATTTTGTAGACTTGATCATCAATTTACGGTCACCTACTGCACTTACTGATATGCGACCTAAGTGACTAATTGTTAGGCGTAGCACCATCCTGTGTGAGGATTGGAGACGTTGGACGTTATGGTTGGTTGGACGTTGTGTGTGTGTGTGTGTGGGGGGGGGGGGGGGTGCAGTAGAGCTAACCCCCCCCCCCCCCCCCCCCCGGTATAATGGAAACCACTACGCCTCTGACCAGACGCATCACATCGTGTTTTACGCGTTGGTTCGATAGAGGGGTTATTGGCGTCTTCTGTAGGGCTATGTGCTTCATTGGTGGTAAAAGGCCCCAACAGCAAGAAGCTTGAAAATGTGAAAATTACCCGAGTAAAAGGTGGGAAACTTCGTGGAACTTTGTGACGCCCTTCTTCCTGTGTCCTTTAATTCCGCGAAGTTTCCCATCTTTTACCACAGCCGCAATAAACGCCAGGAATTGCAAAAAAGAATCGCTATCTTATTAACAAAAATGTGCTAATTAACTTTCTAATTAGCAACGTTTAGGTCCATGTGGAAATTGAAACTTTGTAGGCTACCACCATGGAAGGCTAAAGCAATTCATGGAAAGTAAAAAGAAGCAACAGTGGAGATATATATTCGCCGCCGAACTTTGCGCTGTATATGGGTATGATTTCCGAAATTTGACATCACTTCACGGAACTGTCTCCTGGGATGGATGGATGGATGAATACGGCTGAGCCCTTTGGATCGGGCGGTAGCTTACGCCACCTAGCCATTTTGTTTTACCATTTAAGCTTAGAATATTTAAATGTGAAATCTATATTCACTCCGCAGTGCAAAGAAAGTGAGGCTATGAAACCCCCTTGCCATCAGTGGATAAGAAAATACCTAGTTTTCTCTCGATTTCTGCCACCATTCACTTAATCTTTGCTTGGTAATCTCTACAGTCTTGAAATCCACTCTCCCTTCGCTGTCTCTAAAACCCAATGACTTTATTAAATCTATGTTGTCTTCGGTAGGCATAGGGTGAAGCCCTTTACAGTAGAGTATCAAGTGTTCAGCCGTCTCGTCCTCCTCTCCACAAGCAGTGCACACTGTATCAATTTCCTGGTACTTCACTCTGTATGTTCTGGTTCGCAGAACACCCGTTCTGGCCTCAAACAGCAATGAGCTTCCCCTAGAATTGTCATAAATGCTTTCTTTGGCAATAACTCTTTTGTTTAATCTATAGCTTTCCAGAGCCGTCTTTGTCTGCATTCCCTCTAGCCACCAATCTCTTTCTTCGCTATAGCCCAAAAACTTTCCTCTTAATTTCCTAGTGCGCTGTCTCCACTTTGTGTCTACACTCCTCATGTATAAATAGCTGAAAACCTTTCGTGCCCATTGCTCCCCGTCCATTTGCCTCAACCTATCCTCAAATTCTACCTTGCTCACCGCTTCCCTGCTCTCAAATGATGCCCATCCCATGTCTCCTTGTACTCCCTGGTTTGGCGTTTTGCAATGTGCCCCCAAAGCCAGTCTACCTACTCCGCGCTGTTTTATTTCTAGTCTCGCATGCACTTCGGATTTCATGCATAGCACTGCGTTTCCAAAAGTCAAGCCAGGCACCATGACCCCTTTCCAAATCTCTCTCACCACCTCATACCTGTTGTAATTCCAAAGTGCTCTATTTTTCATTACAGCTGCATTTCTGTTGCCCTTACCTATTATATACTTTTCATGGTCTCTGAGATATTCTGCACCATCACATATCCATACTCCTAGATACTTGTATTTACTAGCTCTCTCAACTGTAATATTCTGTATCTTCAGCCTCTCAACCTCATCCTCGTTAAAAATCATGACTGCCGATTTTTCGCTACTGAATTCTAAACCTAATTCCTCTCCTTCCCTACCACAGATGCTCATTAATTCCTGCAACTCTGTCCTGTTGTTAGCCATTAGTACAATATCATCCGCATACATCAATCCCGGTAAGGATTGCTGAATTTTTTGGCCTAGCTTACTGTAAGAAAGGTTGAACCCAAGCCCACTCTTCTCTAGTCTATCCTCCAATCCTCTCAGATACAACATAAACAGCAAAGGCGATAACGGGCACCCCTGCCTAAGGCCTCGGCTTATCTCTATTTTCCCTGTCGCCTTTCCTTCCCATGTTATAATCACCTTGTTATCTTTGTAAATGTTCCTTAATAGTGCTGTTAGTCCTTCATCTAGGTTTAAGTTCTCCATTATGTCCCACAGGTTTCTTTGGTTCACATTGTCATAGGCACCCTTGATATCCAGAAATGCCAGCCAGAGCTGTCTGTTTTCTTTTTGCGCTATTTCTATACACTGTGTTAGAGAAAATAAATTGTCCTCCAACCTTCTTTGTTTTCGAAACCCGTTCTGTAATTCGCCCAGTATGCCCTCGCAATCTACCCATTCCTCCAGTCTGTTCTTTATAATCTGCATTACCAACCTGTAAATAACCGGTGTCACGGTTATAGGACGATAATTCCTAATATCCGACTTATCTCCCTTTCCCTTATATATCATACTCATCCTACTAAGCCTCCATTCATCTGGAATATTTCCTTTTGTTATCATGGTACTCACTACCTCCCTTAGTTTTGCCTTAGATTTAGGACCCAAATTCTTCACCAGCTTGATAGGGATACCGTCCGTGCCTGTCGACGTGCCACTAGGGACTCTTCGTTCCGCCTTTTCCCATTCTCTTTGTCCAAAATCCGCGATGTCACAAACTGGACTGCTACTTCCTTCGGTTCTCCTATCTTCCACATGTAACCGTTCCCGAAATTTCTCCTCCATCACTGCTCCTATATATTGTATCGCATCATCTCCCTCTAATTGATCTCCCTGATGCGAGAGTATGAACCTCTGTCTAGCTTGCGTTGTTTCACCGAGTGAGTTCAAGTGCTCCCAAAACTTCTTGGCAGCGTTTCTATCTTTCTTACTTACATTACTCATCCATTCCTCACCCTTTCTCTGAATTTTCGCATTGATCAAACTGGATGCCTCTCGGCGACATGTTATAAAATTGTCCCATTTTCTTTTTACTTCCGTTTCGGACTCCCCACTACGCTTGGAATACCTGTGTTCTCTAGAGGCTTCCTGACGTTTTTGTATCGCTTGCTTCACTTCTTTGTCCCACCAGCTTTTTGGTCTATGTCCTTGCTTCCCCTTTCGTTTACTCTTAACTTTGTCTAGTTCTAGAGCAAAAAGCCTAGTTAGGCTCTCATAGGTCCAATCTGTATGCCGTTGCCCTGAAACTGCTGCCTCTATTCTTTCAACAACTATTTCCAACTCTTTGTCGCTGCAGAAAGTTTGCTTTGAATTATGTTGTCTAGTTTCAGCATTTACTTCTCTGGCGAAATTCAGCTTAATACGTTTGTGATCACTACCAAGACTTTTGGAACCTTCTTCATCTATTTTCATTACTTGTAACTTACCATAGATTTTGTGTGACATGAGTACGTAATCTATAGTTGAATGCAGATTGCCAGTTTCCCAAGTTATGTGCCCGTCACACTTCTGACTGGTATTACATAAAACTAAGTCATGTTTTTCCACCAGTTCTAGTAATATGCTTCCAGTTGAGTCCGTATACCCATCCAGACCCTCAATATGGGCATTCATGTCTCCCATAATAATTATTTCGGAGCCTTCCCCTAGTTCACTAATGTCTCTTGATATGCAATCAATCATTTTTCTGTTTTCCTCTTTAGCACCTGTCCCTGTCCATAAGTAAACCACTCCAAGGACTGTTGATTCCCCAGCGACTTTTCCTTTCAGCCACAAATGTTCGGCGCACTCCTTTCTGATCCTTTGAAAGTTCATATTCTTCTTAATAAATGCTCCAATTCCACCTCCCTTCCTCGTTCCCTCCATTCTGTTGCATTCTTCCCACACATAGTCAGGGTTGCAAGGTGGCTGCTCCATGTCTCTGAGATGTGTTTCCACAAACCCATACACCATTAAATCCTCCTTTCTTAGTTGCTCCTCTACCTCTTCCCATTTTAACCTATTTCTACCACCCTGCATGTTAATATATCCAATGTCTGATTGTGCTGTTTTTTTATACCTGTTCTTACGTTTTCTCCTCTTTTTAACCCTGGGTGCCTCTCCTGACTTCGTTGGGTTTTCAATTACTTCAGTGCCCCCAGGGCCCTCGGTCCCCCCAAAAAAGCAGTCACCGTGCGGCCCATCCTATCCCCCACCCTGTAACCCGTGGCCTCACTGTAGTG